AGCTTCTTTTCCTGTCGCTTTCCAGAAAAAAAATCTCTGACATCGCTAGATGTTGTCGACTTCCATCTTATTTCTTCTTCGGAATGCCGCCTTGAAAAATCAGTTTTCAAATTTGTTTTAATTATTGTGGCTTCACAATTGCAACAAATAATCTTTTCGCTAGACATGATTTTTTAAAAAAAAGAATCTTTTTACGCATAAAATTTTCCACATAAGTGCAAAAAATATAAAATACTCTGTTCTCATAAGAAAACACAAAGCAAATTACTGCGCCAGCGATAGAGGTCGAAGTTGGCAAATTTCAAAAAATAGCTTTATAAAGGGGAAAAAAATTCTCCCCTTTTTATCCAGTAACTGTTTGTGTTGAAGATTAACGGAGAATTACGAGCGCTTTCTCCTTCCGCGGTACGCTAGAAAAAAAAATATTTAAAACAATTCAGTAAGAAAAAAATTTTGCAGAACCATTATTGCTTCTGCAGAAATTTTTTGTTTCTTTTTTTTTGGTAAAACAGCTTCTGTTTCTGCAGAATCTTTTTTGAGAACTTTTGTGAACAAACCAAATATTTTTATTTCCCAAATAAAAAAACTCTTTCTGCAAGAACTCAGTCGCTTTCTGCGACAATGTCGCTGTGTCGCCGTGTTTCTGCCACGGGGAAATTGACAATTCGTTTTCTTTTACTAAATAGTGCATATTTTTTTATATTTTTCTCCTTTAAAGACCTTTCTTAAAAAAACTTTTTTTCTGGACTTGCCAAAGCCCCGATTATTCCAGATATGAAACTTTACAACAGTGTATATTTTTAATTCAACCATTTTTTTTATAAAATATAATTCAAGAATGTGCATTCAATAGCATTCATTTTAAGTTATTAAATTAGCAATTTTTTATCTTACTTCTGCATTGTTACTTCCACAAAACTTAGCTATAGACAGTTAATTTTGGGCAAAACAGTGATTTTAAGTGTGTCATTAACCTTGTCAATTCTGAATTTGGTACAATGACAAACCTAGTCTTCAATATCAATGTTACTTACCAGTTAAAGGAATGAACATTGGTCCATAAAACCCTATGTACAAACTTAAAAATTGTGTTGTACTGTCTAAAAATATTAATATTTAAGAATGCATAGTAATAATATTTAAGCTTCATTAATTTATTATTTTTACATCGATCTATATTTTGCCTATTGGCAAACAAAATAGGCTATGAGTAGTGCATAGCAGAATTCTTTATCAATGGCAACACTAAGTATGCACCATTAGTCTGTGGATAGTCATAAAATTAATAAGTATGTTAATTTCTATCTACGTTTTCAAACCGATTAAAATTTTTTAAACTGGAAATTATATGGAACACAAAGCTACATTAGACACCGTGCTTAATGTAAATGTCATAGAATTTTAAAATACATTTTTTGATAAAGAATTTAATTTTTTGGTATGCAAAAAATATGAAAGTGGGAAACATAATATATTCCCATACATATGAGCTGAGTAAATGGGAAGTAGGCTCCCCAGACGGCGTATTCAAGTTCTACGATTGTGAATTTAAATAAAAATTTTCATCATTTACAATAATATGGTATTCAATAATTATCATTATGTATAATATTCTTGATATTGTCTTTTTGATATGTTATATGTCATGTTACTTACAAGGAACTCAAAATATTGTATTTGATGTGGATAATTATCATTATTAGCTGTGATATTTTCGTAATTGATAACCTAACTACTGGACCTTATGAATAAAAGTTCATAACCTTATGAATAAAGACACTGAATGAAAGTTCTAACAAAATGATGCAGGAAAAACTAATTAATGAGGTTAGACAGGAAAGATCAAATAAATTCTTCAAAGACAGGAAAGATCAAATATTATCTTTGTGTCATTATTAATTGGAACAAAAGAGAAAAAAATACCAAAGTATTGGTATAAAAAAATTTAAAAGAAAATAGATTTCCTAACAATCAAATGCAAGAGAAGTTATTAATTAGTTCATTAACATTCTCTTAATTATAGATGGCCAATCACAAATGATTTCTTGCCTGGAAGGAAAGAAAAAGGTTCCTGAAATTGTAACTAGAGAACCAGAGTGGGTAATAGGCATGTGATATTTGACATCACTCATATTGGTTAAAATAAAACATTTATAAAGATAGATTAAATAGATTTATGTACTTTTTTATCTTTGGTTTACTTTCAAAAAATAAAAATACTGTTTTATTCTTCTGATTGTTTTGAAAATTCATTGATTTTCACACTTTTGAACACCAATACCGATTCTAAGTTTGTTTTTATATTATGTTTAAATTTAAAAAGAAATTTTTAAGGCATATTCAGTTAAAAGAAAAAATAACATAAATTATATTTCAGAACAATATTAAGAAGAAAAATAAAAATAAATATTTATTGATATTTTAATTAATGGGTATAGTGCATATAAAAACAGGCAGATTGATGTCAATTGCGGCACTTAATTATTAGATATTGATTAGGTTTTTTATTTTAAACCTGTAACCTAAATAATGTTATTTCAAATAAAATAAGTAGACATACAAACATTATTAAAATGCCCACAAATGCTATTCTAACAATTGGTAAAAAGTTTAAAAATACAATTTGAAATATGATCTAAAACATAACTTATTTTCTAAACTACTACAACTTGTTAATGTGATGTGAAGAGAGGACAATTAGCATAATAATGAAATGACACTTAACTACAAAAGGGTTCAAAATATCAACAACAAAAATAATCAATAAAATAAATGACATCACTTAAGTCACTAGAATAATCGTAAGAAATCCAAATCAGCGAATGGAAAACAAAGCTGAATAATTAAATAATTTTTGGCAAAAGAAAATTTGAGCATACTGTAGAACACTACATAATTATCTTCATTAAAAAAAACTGACATAAATTACTTGCACATAATTAAAATTATTTTACTATTAAAATAAGTTTTTCTACTTCTCCCCTAATGCTTAATAAAATGAGGTTTTCATACCATTTCTTACAATGTCACACTATAAATAGTAAATAAGTGAAATTTTGAAAAATAAATACATATGTATCTAACTCAAACTAAAAGTTCATTAGTATCATTGAAAATAAAACAGAACTAGTGTAATAGGAAGTTTGCAATGAATATTAGTGGAAGCATTCATGAATATTATTATGTGAATGTTAATTTGCAAAGTTATTTTCATGAATATTTAAACAAAATATTTTCTCTTTAACATTTAGTCAAAACTAGATTTTACAAAACTCTAAAAGACCTATTTGAATGCTTAATTATACTTATGACCAATATAAAAACTGATTATGAATAGGATTATTTAAATATATAACTCTAAGAGAAACATACGCATTTTGTTTAAAATACTATTTTTTGGCAAATACAAATATGATTGCAATAGTAAAGTTTAAAATTCAATAGCTTATCCTTTTACATTTTGCGATCTTAAGCTATAATTAATAAAATTATTACAGTGAAAGAAAGATTGTTATATGCATATTTAAACGATTTAATAAAAGAAACTGAAAATTTTAAACAAGACTTAAATACAAATGCAGATTATAATGTATTTTTATCCAATAAAGGACTATTCTAGAAGAATTATGCAAAAGGTACTTGCATGAAAGATAGACAATATATATTGTTTTGACATGTCCTTAATTAATGTATGCTTATACATTAAATATGAAAAAACAAAAAAGGTAAGAAAGAACCAGTGCTACAATAGTTTATACACAAAATTCATTCCTTATAATTGTTATTTATCTTAATGAAAAATTTAGGTTTAATATGTCTACAATTAATTAAATAAACTTGATGCGGAAGTATACGCATTTGATATGCTCTACTTTCAGCAATAACAATTAATCGAACACAAAGAGAAATATTTGCAATTGCTAATTATTTTTATGGAGGAAATTAACACTATTTCGGCAAAATCGGCTATTACTGAAAACAATAACATAATTTCATGTTTGTTGTCATTGGCAATATCTGTTCGGTTCCAACACAAAAAGATATATCGGCGCAAATGAAATAAATGCACCTTCCTATCCAAATTCTATTATTTTTATCTGAAAAGTAGAAATGGGCAGGAATCATTAATGCACATGATCGAAATCTTGCATTTAATATCATGGTTGTGTGTAATATGAATTAGTGAACACTAAAATTGAGAGCATCCTTTTCTTCAACTTTAAAGCCAGGATAAACACTGAACTTAAGCACAGTGAATAGCTATACGCACCTCTTCCAAAAGCAATTCAGATTTCTCATCATTAAAACATTTGTCAGGAGAATCTAGACGTAAATTTGGTACCGAACCATTATACATCGGTTGTGGAACCACCGCCATCTTGTTTTAACCAGAAGTTACCCATAATGCCATACCTAGGCTGACACGTGACCTCAAGACCGAATTTTTCCCATGGATGTGGTCGCACTGCGCGTTTGGGATTCCCCCCTTCCTCCTATGAGGAATTCAGCACTTGATAAGCAGTTTTCAAAACTTTCATCAAAATGATAAAATAAGATTCATATTTTTTCTAACACACTATTAAGTACTACCAGTACTCTTATAAATCTTACGCTGCTATTAACTAAGAGATATAATAAGTTAGTGAAATATGATAAAATTTTTCAGATTTAAAAAAAAAATGCCTTAATCATACATTAACTTTTGACTTTCACTACATAACCAAAATGTACTGTCAATTTACTAGAACCTCTTTTAAAGACAGGTAGGTAACAATATTAGGAGGCTAAAACTTTAATTAAATGTGATTCTTGCATATAACAATATATTGAAAGTCAAGTGTTAAGAGTCATTTATTTCAGTCATGTTTGTGTTAAAAATTTGCCACAAAGAAAAACAAATATCAGATTTTTCATTTATTTCATATTTTTTTCAAATTTTACATAAGAATTTCAGCACATCAAACACATTAATCTACTTCAACTTCTTCTTTGGTCTGAGGTTATTGCAGTGTCCACACTTGCGTTTGCGACAGTTAGTGGCTTTTGGATGTAAACGAGCATAGCACCTGAAAAGATATTTTAAAACATTATATTTTCAAAAAAATAAACAAATACATTAAAAACTGCCTAAATATTTTCATACAGTTTGTCTAAGGTGAGATCTGCCACAAAGTCTGAGACCTGCTAGGCTGGTGCTCTGCTATAGAAACAATAGTGCACTTCAGGGAGGGTAGCTTCTCTTCACTCTATGGTTAACATAAAAGATTCCCTTTCTCTCGCAACCCCGTCTTAAACAGTCAGCCCACACCCCTATTTGAAATAATTATACCTCGTGAATATAGTCACTAACATGTGTCCAGACAAGTGGCTAGGGGAGCTCTTACTTTAGACAAACTTAAACATTACACAAAAACACATTAGCATTTTAAGTTAAACTTGAACAGTTTCAAAACAAATTAGATTCATAAATTAGTTTCAATAACTGAAAGTACTATAAGTTGTTTTATTACTTTAAATTAAAACCATTCATTCAAATAGCAGAGAGGGTTATTCCAGGGTGTACATTATAACCATTTGATATTAAAAAATAGGCTGAGTGCACATTTTTTTTAAAAATATATTTTCAAAATTTTGTTTATAAACATTTAAGGCCAAGAAATACGTAGTTTTGAAATGAAATTTTTTTAAAAGGTTAAAAAGAAATGTAATCTTCAATAAAATGTCAAATTGAACTATCAACTGAATTATGACTTCACACAATTCTGAAAACCCCAAAAATTTTGAATACAAAAAACATTTGTACACTTCACAATTCCAAACCATTAATAAATTCAATAATAAAATAATTTTTAAGACAGAATCATATTTGGACAAGATATAAAATTGGGTGCAAAAAAAATTCTTCATTACTTCCTTCTTTGGCTAAAGAGCCATACTTAAAAATTTTTTTTTAAAAAAACTGACGAATTTTATGACTGCTCTTGTTAAGTGCACTGTTGAAACCAAATTTTCTAAATTGCAACTAACCTCTTTTCTTAAATTTTATTTTGAGGACTTAAAACCCAAAACATAAGGATGTTTAATCATAGAAAGTAAATATTTGTCAGATGTACAATAAAATTGAGTTCTCATTTTACTCAATAAAAATTGCTTTTAAAAATATACTTTATTTGCATTAAAAGAAATAATTACTTTGGGTACTTGAACATTTAGTGGTAATTCATAATTTCAAATCAAAATAGATAAATCCTTTAGAACTATACTTAAATATTAATAAATATTATTGCTAAAAACAAATATCATGCATATCAGTAATATTTTACTTTACTAATAATAATGTATAATAATCATGATAACTAGCGGATAAACTAAAAGTTAATGAATTATTAAATTAGTATCACTTATAAAACATCTAGTAGGTTGTGTTTATAAAGAAAGAAAAAAAAGAAAAAAACAAGCCAAGTCTTGACTGTAATGCAACAAAAAATACAAACTTTGAAAGTAATAATTACTTTGCAACATTAATACTTTCCAAGGATTCAGCTTTTCTCTTCAATTAAACATAAACTTGTTTTATAAATCTTAAACTCAGTCCTGGTTAAAGTTTGTAGTCAACATTTGTATCTATCCAAACAGTGAGCTTCAAATTGATTAAAATAAATAACTTAGTCTATTTGTTTAATGATTACTATACAATTCAGATAAGAGGCTCAATCATTAAGTAATAACTTTAAAATCAGCTTTCTGATTAAAATTATTGCTATCTAAACACCAATTCCAGGAATGCCAACAGCTTTAACTTCAGCAACAGTTTTAATAAATTTGATAGCAAGATAATTACTTCCGCCATTATATAGTTCCATAATTTGAATTTTTAAAAAAGTATTGGTGGAAAAATTAAAATGAAACGCACTAAACATTATTTAAATAATGTTAAAACCAGACAATATATTTTACAAAGTGTTGGAAGTTGGCATCTCTTCATTTTACTTTTGCTTACTGCTGCTTTGATACTAATAATTTCGCCTAATAAAAATTCCTTTATGATAAAAATTCCTTATGATGACTACACCAAGTCAACATAAAATCTAATTGTGTGTTAACAAATAATTGAAATACAGAAACATAAAAGTTAACATCAAACTATAGTGACTTACACTGCCAATCATACATTTAATATTACACTACGAATCAATTTACCATTTCATCATTATGTCAAACCTCACAAATCAAATTAAAACTGTAAATGCCTAAAATATAATCTCATAAAACATTAACCAAAAAAATATATATATAATAAATAAATAAAAAATAGCAAACACATTAAAGAATGATAAATTATGCAAACTATTTTACTGATAAAAGGTAAGACTTTTCTCTCTAAACTAACAGTAGCTTATTAAGTGCAATTATGCAAAAATCTAATAAAATACTGCAAGGTTTAGAACTAGTTTACATCTTATACACTGCTTAATAGCTTTCTAAATGACAAAGAATAAGAACGATGCCGTACTTTCGGCAGATCATCTTATCGCAGTTGTACTTCTGTGCCAAAATTCTAAGACTTGGCTCAATAACACCACCCCTCAAACGAAGAACTAAATGAAGAGTAGATTCCTTTTGAATGTTATAATCTGATAGAGTTCGTCCATCTTCCAACTGTTTGCCGGCAAAAATTAATCTTTGTTGATCAGGGGGAATACCTGAAAATATAAAACATAATCATTTTTGGTTACACAAGAATATATACTTAAAATAATTCTTGAAAATAAATTATACTTCACACAAACAATTCTAGGAAAAAGGGTTAGAATACCTTAACCTTCAATTTTTTGAAACAATTTTAATGAGAAATTAAAAAAGAATTGCACCATAAAAGTTTATCAAAGATTAAAAATTATTAAAACTCATTAAGAATATTCTTAACCAATATCATAAATAAGTCAGTTAAAATCGAGACTATTTCATTAAAAATATGAATATTACCATTTTCCATATACCGTGAAAACAATATATTTTTCAAAAATTTGAACTCATTGCTTGTCTTTCAATTTGCAGCTGAATTCAAAAGTAATTAAGTATTGCCTCTGGTTACTGCTATTTTAGAGTGTTATTTAACATTACAATCACATTCATCCATTAGCTAGCACACAAATTCAAAAGGATCATGCCTTATACTAAGACTTGGAACTTACGCTAACTACTTAATTAAACAACATTCAATTGTTAGACAGCTTTAATGTCTTATTTTATACTTATGTCCATCTAACCTTATATTAACTTCATGTCCACCTTAGTCAAGAAGTCTAAATAGTACCCACTGTTCATAACAAATTAACACTCATATTCTAAAAAAAATCTGTTAACAACTTACTATTAATCACTGGATCTTAATGTCCCAAAATTAAATTCAGTGTAGCAGTGCTGTGTGCTACCCATAACAGAAAAAAAATTTACTTGGGCATTTTAAATCTGGCTATTGATAAGACAGAAACTATATTATCCATACCTCAATTGGCAGATATAACCATATCAAATTTCCGTAAGATTTAATTATTGCATGAAGATAATACCCCAATATACTAAACTGAGACCTAATTTAATGGGACATTTCCATATTGATATTTCCTTGTGCTAACTAAATCTATTTAAAAGCTAAAGGGTTTTTCAACTTTCTAAAAATTAGAACAAATGCATTTAGGTGACTAAAAATTATCCCTATCAAGTAGGTCTTTTGTGATTTTTTTAGAATGCTCAGTGCCAGACTTACTTGACCCCCAGGTAATAATATGCCTTATATCTTAAAACTCAATTGTTTATTTATTCTTAAAAATGTACTTGCACCAGTAAAATGGAAAAAGACCCACAAAACTGCTCACATTGTGGTCAACATTTTGATGATCTTTGCCATTAAAAATACCTTCTGATGTTTTTTTTCAAGGAACATATCACTCATTTGGTAAAACAATGACGTAACTGATATATTACAGAAACTAGCAGTTACATCATTGCTTCACCAAATCAGCAATAGGTTATTAATAATGAATAATAATGATGACTAATAACAGACTTTTAACAAGGTAGACCACTGGCACTACACATTTAGGTCAATGTCTGCAAAAGGGTGCCTCTTTTACTGTGGCAATCCATCATTAGAGTAAAATAAAAATTATTTGTAATAAATATAGGTAACATTAACATCAATTAAAAGTTTCAGATCACAATACCCAATCCAAGATGCACCCTAAAGCACTATATCCTGCATTAAAACATCCTTTATGCAGAATAATTTTAAAGCAGATGGTTAACCTGAATAATATTGCATGTTCTTAATACTTTAATTACAACAATTAACATTTCATTTCAACACTTCTAATGAAAACTGGAATAAAAATGATCTGCTATATAATAGTACTCATAATTATACAATAAATAATGATATGTATCTAAAGTATGATATACACACAAAAATTAATTATTTAAAATTAATTAAAAAACAAATCAGTAAATATACCTTCTTTATCCTGAATTTTAGCTTTTACATTTTCAATGGTATCAGACTGCTCAACCTCAAGTGTGATGGTCTTCCCAGTCAGAGTTTTTACGAAAATCTGCATCTTGTATCTACATACATAAAGAAAAAAAAGTTACTGAAGTTGTGTGCCGATTAAAATATTACACAGTAAATGGTAAAATATTAAGTTAGGCTTAGGGCAAAGCAAAAATAAAAGTAAGCCACTTTTAAATTATAAACCATTACGATCAACATTAGTTTTAAAAATTTAAATCAATAATAGTTTAATTATCATAAAATATTTATTTCTTACCTGAATATCTGACTCAAATTTAAGATGGAATTTCACACTTTCCTCCTCGTGTCGAATACACGAAAAATGAAATGTGGAATAGAAGTTGTAGTGTAGAATTTCACAAAATCGAACGATTCTTTTTGACGAACGATTCAATTAAAAGTAATACATCTAAGCTACAAACTAAACTTTAATCATAACATAAAGCTCTGAATTCCTAAAAATACCAATATTTATCACATGCTTAATTCATGGAGTTGCATTATTAGTTTGTTGAAATGAATGACAGTTTTACTGTTCTTAAAATTTATGTAGTAAAGTGTATGCATATGTTTCGTCATTATTTCATCTCCAATCAAGAAATCAATCTAAACTTCTAATCTCAAACACGGTTTGGATCTGTGATGAAAACTGTTCTACATTTATAGAGACGTGAAAACTATAACATTTTCTAAATATGAGTATTTTAAGGCATTTAAAAACTAAGAAAGAAGTTGACGATGCTATTCGAACTAATGAAGAAAAAGTTCTAGTGCTAAGATTTGGGAACGATAATGAAATTGGATGTTTACAAATCGATGACATTGTAAATAAACCTGAACTAGATTTTGTTTTTATTTTTTTGTATTTTTAATTTCAAATCATCATTAATTAATCTCTGTTAATTAATTTTAGTTTATTTTTGTAATAAAAAGTTGTTTACTTACATCTGCAGACGTAATCTAAATACAGTATAAAAATCTTCCTATTTCCTTAATTTTTCTGATCTAGTTCCAGAAGTACTATTTTCTATTTCCAAAATTAAAAACTTATTTGCAAAAAAATTTTCTTTAACTGAGAAATTTGTTTTGTTGATTATGCATTTCATATGTAGAAATTATGAGGCATGATAAAGTCTTTTTGATATTTTTTGTAGATAAACAGTGGAAACTCCCTCATCCTTAATCGTCCAGACAACAATCCCCAAAAATGGGTTTTTCCACATAATAGGTCTTAAAAGTAATCAAACATCATTAGTCAATTAAAAAAATAACGAATAGATAATTGACTTCTATTTCTTTCAACAACGTTTTTTATAGGTTGAATGACTTTTAAAAAAGTAAAAAATGTTTAATATCATAAAATATGTGTGTAAAAAAAATAATAAATGAGCACAGGATGTTTTGAGCTTATTTAGCCATGTATAAAGATATGTTTCTTTATGATGTGAAGAATTAACAGTTCTGATAATCAGATGAAAATGGCATTAAAAGACCCTGTACTTAAATTCCTAAGGTAAATTGATTTATTAAGAAAAATAATAATCCTCACCAACTAGAGAGCAAAAATAAGGAACAGAATTGAATAGATTCTTTTAATGAATATGTCTATAATTTAAGACAAAACCTGTCGGCAGGTGATTCTTTCAAATATTATTAATATTCAGCTGCATTAATATTCATAATTTATTCTTCCTCCCAAAATTTGTTTTTCTTTCACTGCTCATGACTTTTCAACAAAATCTTTTAGTATGGTTATTGAGGCAGAATAGGAGGAATAGGTACATCATAGTTCAGCTATGGAATAAGCAACATGAAGAAATAAATAATAAAAAAAAAATTGTTTTATTATGTATTTTTTTTTAAAAAACAGATAGCGAACGGAAAAAAATTCATTTGAAAAGGGAAAAAAAAATTTTTTTATTTTGATTGTTAAAAAGTGTCCAGAAAATATACTTCCAGTAAATAAATATCCGAATATGAGTACTGTATCATCAATTAAGGAGCTTTTAAAATCTTTCATTAAAAATTAAAATGTGCTCAATTTATTAATTTTTAATGCATTTAACAATGTTACCCTTTTTTTATTTAGATGTCTCGATGTGCTGTTTTATTAAGTGAAATGGCTATAATTTGTACTATCAATTTAGAAGACGTTCCGGAATATGTGGAGTATTTTGATATTTCTCACATACCTGCCACAATTTTCTTTTTTAATAGTGTTCCCATAAAAATTGATTCTGGGTAAGTAATTTTTATACCATTTTTATTTTTATATGGCTTTTTAAGGAACAAAGGTTTATCTTTTGCATTTTCCCTTTACAAGTAGGGTTAGTCAAAGTGGGCTCAGACCTAAAAATCCCACTCAATTTTTTTCAGGTAGGCCCATTTGTAAAAAAAATACTTTTTTACAAGGTATGATTTATCAAAATTTATCCTTTTAAAACAGTGGTTACCTACCGGCAGCCCACAGAACCTCTTTTGCAGACAATTTTCATAAAAACCTATATAGGTTTAAAGTACTTTTTTTTGTTCAGAAAAACCTAATTTCTTAGTTTCTGTGAAATTTAACATACCAACAGTGAAAAAAATTTATTTCTCAGGTACTAATCCAGGGTTGCCACTCTTCAGGGAGAACACGGAAAACCTGGAAAATACAGGGAATTTAAAAATCACCTAAAATAACAGGGAAAATGCAGGGAATTTTGATTTTTTCTTTACAAACTGGGAAAATACAGGGAATTTTGTTTTTACTTTTGTCTTTTAAAAAATGGTGACCACTCAAAGCCTAATCTATGGGATATTTAACCATGATATTTCAGCTATAATAAACTATTTCATTTACTATAGCATTATTTAAGTATGTTCAGCTGTTTTTCCAGCAATTAAAACTAATAAATATAGTTAGCCCAATATAGCTCACACAAGAGTGCAGTAATTGTTGTTTTTTCTTAACATATTGTGTATAATATGTACAGGGAAAACACAGGGAACTTTTTCTCCAGATTTGAGTGGCAACCCTGTAATCTACTTCTTATTTTAATTTGTAATTCAATACTTTTGTTTTGTACAACTTGATAAAAATCTGACAGTAATATTTAATGTTCCTTCAAACATAAAAGAGTCCTATATAAAATTTTGATAAAGTTGGTGTCCGCCATTTGACTGGTGTTTTTAATTGTGGCCCCCTGCCTCATGTAAGTTAGAAACCCCTGTTCTAGATCAATAGATTTTTACTTTATAAGCAAAGTAAATTATTGTCATTTTGCAAAAATTTTCCAACAATTGAAGATAAATTAAATTGCATTTAACTTGTTTTGATAACATACTAGTTTCCCTACAATTAGGGAGAAAAAGTAAAGTATACGTTCTTATGAAGAACAGATACTAAAACTTTATAAAAATTACTATTAATACGTTTTTTATTTATCAAACTTTCATTACAAATGTTTAACTTATTTCAGTATTTTTTAAATATCTAGCCAGAGTACAAGAATTTAAATTATAATTTAATTCATTTATGAAAGAGTTATTAAATTCTAACCAAATTCTAAGATATAAGTTATGAAAATAAGTTTGTATATTATTATTATAGATTGTAAAAAAAACTGCTTTTATAAAATTTAATAATTATCTATAAAACTAATTAGTAATCAATTTTTTATAATTGTATGGAAATATACTTTGCTCTCTAAAAATATAAGAAAAACCATTCTTCTATACATGAAATATCTAATAGTTGTCCTAATATGAGCTCAATATATAAGTATTATTTTATTCATGGCAAAGACATGTCTTGTTATAAATACTTTGATATAAACGTTTTACTTATGTTATATTATCTATTTACAGAACTGATGACAATACAAAATTTGTAGGACCTTTTCAGTGTAAACAAGATTTTATAGACTTAGTTGAAGTTGTGTATAGAGGTGCAATGAGAGGAAAACATATTGTTAACTGCCCTATTGACAGGAGGCGGATTTCAAACTATCAGTTATTGTTTAAAGACTTTTAAGAATAAAATAGTGAAATTCTAATGATAATCTTTTCTCACAAAATTTTTATTCTCATTTTATTCTTATAACCCTTTCGATTGATAATTTATTAATTTGTATTTTATTTGTGTAACACATTTAGTGGTCAGTCATATTATTTGGATTACTTATTCTTTAGTGTGTTTTAAAATATTAATAATAACCAAATTTATAGTTATCGTTTCTCACTTATGAATAAAATTTTGATTAAAAAAATTGAACAAGTCAGTCTTAATTTTATTTTGTTTCTTTGTTAATCATTACTGAAGTTAATAATACTATTATTTTTCATTCTCACAGATGGATCTCTAAGGCAGTAATGTAAAAGTTAATTGTTGCTTAGAATCCTCTCTAACACTATAGCATTAACATCATTTCTTTTTTAAAATGAGAAATAATAATATTATTACCAAATGAAAAGTTTAAAATGCTTGATATTTAACAAAACACTCTTAATTTTTTTATATACTAGTATTTCTCAACTGCCATCTGTAGCCTGAAAAACATTAAGGTGTATCACAAAAAAGTAGAACTTTTAAAATTTCATCAAAATGGAAAGGTTTAATAAACTGAATCGAACTTTGAATGTTCAGAAAACACTTATGAAAAATGCTTCTCTTTTTTTCTTCTTCTATCATCAAAATTAATAGTAAGTTTTCTGGGAAGTTTCAAAGGCTTTTTATCTGTGATACTTTTTGATCAATCACAAAATTTTATGTCCTTTAAGTGTTAAAAATTTAAAGAAATGAATAAACTTACATTTTATTTTTTATAAATTTTTGCCTTTCATTTTTGCGTTTTTAAATCAATTCGAAACTCATTTCAAAACTGCATTTTTAAAACTTTTTTTCCTCATTTACAGTAAATATATGTATATATATTTATAAAACTTTTATCTATAAATATTTTTTTTTCATAATGTCCCTTTTTAATATATTACTCTAATCAACTTCTTCAACGAGATAATTTTCTCTTCAAATATATTTGATACTTTCCTTCAGCCATTTTCTCATTTTAACTGCAAGGTGGTCACTGAATATTGTTTGGATTTTATTGTCAAATTGTCACAAATATAGACATAATAAAAATCCGTCTTCAGATTAAAATAATAAACCTTTTTTTTTTTATACTGAAAATATTCCTGAAATTAAAGTTCCAAGATTCGATAGTGAAATATTAGCTATAATTATTATTTATACCAATTCCTTTTTTCTTGAAAAACTCATTTTTATAGAAATTAAATTGGAAATTTATAAAACAGGTCTATCATGACAGTGAAACTTAGACTTTGACGAATTAAGATAAAAATAATTTATGTTTGTAAGGAATATTTTTAAAAAGAATTTTTGGACCAATTCACCTTGGAGAATTAGGTTTAAAGGAAAATCTCATATTGGGAAACCCTTTGAACTCAAGACCCAGAAGCAAGATGTTCTTAGGTTAGTCCCATCCCTATTGCTCGATGCTGTAACAAAAGATCTAACCACAATGAAAATTTCAAACTGGGTATCCAAGTCTAAAGAACAGAAAGGTTTGGAATGACATTTTTCAGCAAGCCATTACAGGCTGCAGCTACATGAAAGACATTGTTTTTTTAGTGACTCGAAAAACTAGCCTCAAATATTCTAAATAATTTGTGTAATTATATTAACTGATTCAAATTCGGACCAAAAATTATTTTAACGGATTTGGATTCTTGAACCTCGAAAGTTGGGACAGTTGTTTATTCAAGACTGATCAAAATTTTTATTAACTTAACATATTTCGCCATATATGAACTGTGTATATGATTCAAAATATTATTTCACCCAAAAACAATAATAGTTTATTTTTATAACAATCAAAAAGATTTAAATTATAAGGTTTATAATTAAGTTAATTAAACATTATTTTATTCAATGTTATTTGAAATAACAAAACACATAATTTAAGGGTCATGAAAATGAAGATCTAAAACAGGTCTCTTTTAAAAATTTCATTGCTCTCGATTTCTGCCATCCCTTCCTTCTCCTTTTCTCATATTTTGAGAGTCAAAATTTTGAATCCGTTGTATAAAACTATGCGGAGAGAATGTTTTTACTTCGGATTACGTAAATTTAAATATCATGTTTACGAATTAATGTATTTAAGGTGCTAAGTTATTTGTGCTTTTCGAACCATTAAAAGTGTCTTTTTGTAGGCGAAATTAAAATTCATTGCTTCTTCTCAGTGCAAAGCTTATTTTTCCCCCTTGCACTGCCCTACCATTCAGCGTAATCAAGCAGATGGTAAGTCAATATCTCCGCTAATAATTTTCAATAAAATGAAAATTGTTTATTTAATAGCATATTTTCCCTTGTATGTTTTATCTATAGTGCATTTTATCCACATTAGGTTTACCAAAGTTACCTATAAGACGTCTGTACTTAAGAAAATGTGGATTATCTATAAATAATCTCTTACAAAAGATATAAAGACGGCGTTATCTCATGGATCATGTGGACGAAGCCTGGACTTCTATTCTTTGTCTATCCCTTACAGCTCAACTCATCCGGTACCGGATGAGTTAGGCTGTAAGGGATAGACAAATTTGGCCTTAGATGGGATAAATTGGACCTAACAATCATGAGTTTAATGTTAAAAACTCCCAGCAGTTATGAAAATAGCATATTATTCGCAAAAACATCACTTAATATAATCAAGGAGGCTTCGGAAAACAGCAGGTCCCAGCACGAGTTATTTTTCTCCCCGTTTTGGCTCTTACATTTTACAATGAAAGATCCACAATGCAATTAAGATTTGCACAGTTATATAAAATGAAATGAGTACGATCGTTTTTGTTTTTGTTCAAAGTTTGCGATTACTTGTTTGAGAATCTTTGATGGTTCAAAAGATTGAGCGATCACCCTCCACTCCTAAATGCAATGACCCAGTGATTGCTGAAAAGCCATTATTATAGTGTGCTGGATAACAGTTGACTAGTTTGAAGCATACAAAATATGTTATGATGCATCATGTAAGAAATATGAAGAAGCAACTCTCATTTCATGCGAAAACTAAATCGGGTATGCGATTGAGAACTGATTAGTAAATATTTATTCGCTAATCAGATTCTCAACCACATCTCCGAATTTGCAAATGTTAATTTTTCATAGGCGATAGAAATGGGCTACAGGTGGCGTAGAGCAGAAATTTCTACACATGTCTTCAGTGGCCCCCACCCCCCCAAGCTCTTGAACNAAAAATTTGCTAACTTCACCCTTCCATGTTAGCTTGTTCGAAATAGTGCTACGTTGCTTCTTTTATTTATGTACTTAAAAAAAAATTCTCTCGTTTAAATTCCCCCCCTCCAAAACTATTCGTTTTATTTATTGTAAAAATTCCCCCCCCCCAAGCTGTAAGTGGGCGCATCTTGCGCCCACCTTCAACCCTGATGGGGGCCCCTGCATGTCTTTCACCAATAAGGCATGGTGAGTCATGGGAGAAAGAAGAACATTAGCTTCACTTTTGATTCTCAAATAGGGGTCCCGCAGTGAACTGATCGCAAGACACGGTTCCCAGCTGACTGGTTGCGGTCAATGTGCTGGTGAGTGACAGCTTGAATTTGAGCAGGGACCGAGGATGTGCGGCATTGGTCCTCGTTAAAACTGTTCTAAAGTAAAGTGCTCGACTTTGCGTGTAGGTCCAAAGGTTGCGTGTAGGTTGCTCGCATCGGGCTACCGAAGCGAGAGAGCCATCCCCTCTGCAGAGGCTCAAAATTGTGAATTCATGTCTTCGGCTCATCCTCAGTGTTTTTCCAGACCGTCGCCAATAGCCCATTGTGCAACTTTAGTGTGTGAGCTCTAGTGCGATATAGAGGAAATACGGCAGCAGATTCTTAAATAGATTAAAAACTTTTAAGTTAAGAAGCTATATAGAACTAAAAACTGCATTGAACATCGTTCTAAAAGAAAACGTCTTGAATATTTTAGAAAATATTTGTGAAAATTAAATACGAAAAACATTAAGAAAGGGAAAAATATCGTCATCCTAATGTAACTGAGAACTCGCGTATTTTGAGTCTTAAACAGTGTGAATGGCTTTGCATGTGAGGTACCGTTTACACTGTATGTCACGCGCTTCCAATCATCAACAGAAAATGCATTAAGTGAGATTCACCCCCAGTTGCTATTCAAAGAGCCATTCTTGCTTTATGCAAAAACAAGATCGTGTAAGCAAATTTGGGATTGCTAATGATAATCTCATTAGAAACTATTTCACAGGAAAATATATTTCATGAATGAGATTCGCAATTCGGATTTCGCAAACGAGTTTTTAAATGCAGCGAAAATGGTCATTGAAGAAACTAAATGATTTGCTTTTAGCTTTGATTGATTCATTATTCCTGTCTGCTTTATTATAGACTGGCAACGATTGCGTTATTGTGGTTGTCATGGAGGAAAATGAAACTAACAAAAGATATATTAGCCAACATTAGTGATGTTTTAGTTTATGGAAATTATTTTAAGTTACAAATTGCTTTGGAAATTCAATAATTGGCTATGTAGCTTTGTTTTGAAATGAATCGAATAATTTTCCGCCCGAGTTTCTGTGATATTTTGCAATTCTTTTTTATTTTCTTTACGTTTCACATTTTTATTTCTTCTGTCAGAAGTATTCCAATGCATTTGTTGTCGTCTAAATCAAATTCAACCCTAATAATGAAAGGCGTACTTTCAGAATCTTTGCTCAATTATGACGCAATAAAGCCTCCAGATCATTTACAAGGCATAAAAATGGAGCGAGATGGACATATCAACAAAAATTTTAGGAAAGAAATCATTCTGGGTAATCTTAGTGAGAGTGGAACTGAAGATGAAAAACTTCTAGTTTCTGTTCATCGAAAGTAATTTATTTACAATAAATTTTAATTATTTTTAAAGCTTTTTTATTATCATTGTACTGGAATTTACATTACTATTTATATTTGTTGCATTAAGTAATAATTAAGAAAAGAATTTTTCATACAGCCTCTAAGTTATTGTTTTGTATAAATTTTTATCTGATTGCCTTAGTGCACACCCTAATGCACTGAAACATTAATATACATTTTTAAATCTAACTAATGAAATGTATAAATATCTTTATTTTTATTTTAAAAAAAGAAAGAAAATGGTCATGACCTACATTGTTTTTGGAGACAGCAGATTTTCTTGATTTTTATAGCTTCTCTTTAAACCAGTCAATATTTAAAAATAAAATTTTTTTCTTCTTGTGGAAACTTAAATTGGTTATTATAAGCTTAAATAAGAACCTAAGATGCGTCAAAATATCCTGGCGTCATTTTTAAAATTCAAGCCATTTTTAAAAAACTTTACAATAAAAGAGGAGGTTAATAATAGTTTTTATTACTTACCAAAGTGTAATAACAATCTTCTTTTACTATTCTCTTGTTAACAATGTGTTAAAATTAAAATAATGTTACATTTTCACGTTGTTAGTTTAGTGACTTGAATTTCATTAATTCATGTGGCATTTTTTTGCTTTCAGAAACAGTAATGAATTTAATTGTAGTAAATCAAGTTTAAGGAAAGTTAAGTTCTTTTTTAGAACTTGTTTATTCCAAATGTAATTACTGATGTGCAAGTTATAGTATACAAGTTTTCTTCATTCAGTTCTATGTGTGGCATGTTATTGCATTAGAAATCGGTGGCCATTTTTGTGTAGGTACGGTATATTAAAGTTTAAATAATGTTATTTTATGCATTTTAAATTTAGTTTTCCTTTAAATTTTTATAATAAATATGTCATGGTGCACTTTTGATCGTTGTTTGTGAAAAATAATAGCTGATTTCGACTTCTTTTTTTTACAGAGCAGATACGAATCATGACGGATTTTTAAGTGAAACAGAATTGGAAAAATGGATTAACAAGAAAGTCAAAGAGCATTTTCATAAAGCTGTTAGAGAAAACTTTATAATATTTACTTCACTTGACAAAGATCATAATGGTAAAATTTATATCTAACTTTCTAAATTCAACTTCAATAAGATGATTTATTTTATGATCATTCAAATAAAATATTCTGAACTAGTATTGGTACTTGCAATAATTTGGTAGCTTTGTTCAAGTTTTGGAGAGAAATAAAATTTTTGGTTTCTATTTATTTTTTCACCATTTAATAGATAATTTATGATCAGTGGAAGCCATTTAACTGTGTCATTTTAACAATAGTGTCGTAAGATAAGCAACATCCTGACTGATTATTTGTGTAATATTTTTCTAGTTGTCATGACCAGTTCATAAGTGAAATTTAAAACCACTTCAAGATAACTAATTAAATAAAAAATATTAAATGAATTGAAATCTATTGCATTTAATATATAAAAGCAAACAATATTAATCAATATACCTTTTACTAGTATTTAGTGGCATAACTGTTGGGGGACAAGAAAGAGTACATGTTCCCAGTTACAGCCTTAGAGATGTACCAAATTTATTACTTCAAATTTTTATCCCATTTACCTACGAACTGAATAGGATGTATATTGGTCAATCATTTTTTAAATTACTTTTTGCAAATATGTGAGACAATAAGAAGCAATAAACACCTATCCTTGAATAATAATAAAAAATAAATTGATATCTAAGTGAATCGAAACTACAAACATGAGTAACATATGCTGTTCAATTGTAAATAAAACATATTAATGTTTTTACCTTGTTGAGCTACATAAGTTGTTATATCTTATTCAATGTAACATTTACTTAATGAATTTAGTTTTACAGAGTCTAAACTTGTAAGCAGTTCCCTTAAGTGTGACACTATATTATGCCAGGTGGTATAAAAATTAAGTTTGTTCCCAGGGTTTTAAGTCATAACTATAATGCATGTGGCAACCCTTTAGCAAAAGTTGCTTTTCTCAATAAATAAATAACTACAAATTATTCAGGAAAAAAAAGTTTTGCATCTTACATTTTTACAGATCTTCTAAGTTTAATGATTGATTTAAAATGTTCTAAATGAGTGAAAGTTAGTTCTCAAAAATTAAAACTAAGTTGCTTACCTCAATATATATATAAACTTTAAGTTTAGAATAGTTAAGCAGATTTTATTAGATTACTAAGGTAAAATTCATTATTCTTAATTAACTTAAAAGGATATTTAGATGGTTTCTATTCATATTTTATAAAGAAAAAGCAACATAAGAGATGGAAATAGAAGAAAACATATGTGATGATGAGAAAAGCAGTGTTGTCGGACGTAAAAATAAGCAATTATTTTAATTTATCATAAAAATATTTATTATTTTCAAAATCAATATAGACTATATAAATGAGACTTGCTTTAAACAGAAAAAATAATTTTATTATGTTTAATTTTAGTGGCACAGTACAATTAATTATGTATCTTGGTATCAGATGTAAAATATCAAAAGTACGTCTTTGTAAATCAAAATGTGAAATGTTTTTACACATTTCTGCAATATAACCTGTTTTAATATAGTTTACTTTATTAACTATTCTATTATTAGTGTAAAAATAAAAAATACAACTAGTTAGTGATTCACTTACTATGGATAACAATTTCAAACAATGTAGCCTTTTTTTTAAACAGCCTATAACTTATTGAAAACTGATAATAAGTTGAAAGTTATTATTTCTAAATCTGAAGTTTTTTATCTTGAAAATGATACATTGTTTGCTTAAAAATATTAAATTAAAAATTTTGGTCATCTGGTTGATCTTTCTGTGGAATTGCCCAGTTGACATTTTGATTAAATGAAGAATATTTTGAAAACTATTATAATTCTTATTTAAATGAAATATTATTTGTTTATTTCTATTAATATTTTACTTGTTTTTGTGTATAGAAATAGGAGAAGTCGTTTTTTTATTGGACAAATTTTAAATAACTTTATTTTTTTTTTCAATTTGCAATGCTACTTCAAGTTATTAAAGTTTCAGTATTTTAATACAAAATTATGGTTATTGTTTTTATATTATGTCACATTTTTATGCACCTTCGCTTTCAAGCAAACTCTCCTTTGATTTATGTCACTAGATTGTTTAAAAAGAAATTGCCCATAATTTTTTATGAATAATCCCTCCTATTCTATGTTAAAAAATTTATGGCTTTCTATTTTGTTAGGTCGTGTTAGTTGGGATGAATATCATGTAAACTTTATGGTGGAACAAGGATTCAATCATAGTTATGCATCAAAACATCCTGAACATCATAAAACATTAAAAAGAAAAGGTAAGTGTTTTATTGAATTAATGGTTTAACATTATTTAACATCAGTTAAAATATTTTTTACATAAAAACAGTAAATTAAAATCAATGACATTATCAGTTATTTTAAGCCATAAAATTTGATAAGATAATTATTAAAAATTATAGTGTTTATACATAATTTTCACAGTTTTTAATTTTTTTTCTTCTTCTTTTTAACTTCCCGTGTAAGACATCAATCAATATCACACTAATTAAATGGTTGATTTTTATATTTATCACTAAAAAATAATTTAACTAGGCATTCCAATTTGTTAAGTTAAAAGTTCAAACTGAGATCTGTACTAAATTCTTTTTTTATTTTAAGTATTGTATAGTAACAAAAAATGTTTTCAATATTAAAATCAATGAATATTTGCAAAATTGAAACTCATTTTGCAAACAAAAGGTTAAAATTTTATTTTTCAAGAATTAAAATTGATGATTCATTTAAAATTTTCGTTATTTGTTTGATATATTGAGGGAGCTTTAAAGAGTTTTTAATTTTTGAAGGGGATAAATACATAGTGCCCACTCTGATAATGACAGGCATGGTTTATAACCAATAAGTTATTTGGTAATATCAAGTTTCAACACTAATTGTTTGACTTTTAATTAAAGAACTTTGTGGAGGAAGATGCAATGGTGAATTTGAGCAACACCATCTTTTGAAACTATGACAGAGGCAGCTGTTAATTTAATATTTTTAATTTGAAACAGTTTTTTAAAATTCTTACTATTTTAATTTTTATTATACAATGAATTTGAAAATGTAAATGAATCCTTTGTTTCAGTGAAAGAAAAAATTTTGTTAGACAAGGCAGCTTGGTCAGAAGCTGCCAATTCTGATCCAGAAGCTCTCAACATTGACGAGTTTTTAACATTTCGTCATCCTGAACATAGCCATGTCTCACTTATCAATATGGTTAATGACATTATTGGTAGCTTAGGTAATGATTTTTCCTTTAGACTTTTAAACTGATATGTGACATTGTAGTGATAAAATATTAATAACACTATTAAAATTTGTAGTACATAGCTTGTAGTACTTACTACCTCAACAAGTAGCTTGTTGAGGTTAAAGTTCTTTATATTATAATATATTTATATTGGGAAATTTTAATCTCTAATCTAATAAAATTTTGAATTTATTGAGACCCATGTTGTTACTATGTAATTAAGTTTTATTCTTTAATCTGATTTTATTACATACTTTTTTAAAAGAAAACATTTTTACATGAAAAATGCGTTATCAGTTTTAATATATTTGAATTCAACCACTACATGCTTTCTTATTCTTTACAGTTTCATGATTTTTTAATTTTATCGATATAATGTAATGCATCTAGTTTATATATGTATATATTTTTAGAAATCTAATAATTTTGCCTAGGAGCAATTTAGATTGAAGAATTATTAACATGTGTCTCTTGTGTTTTTCTTTAACTGAATAAGTGCTTGCAACGCAAAGACATTATTTAAAATGTTTTCTACGAAATAAATTATTATTCAAAGAGAAAGTTAGATATTGAGGAGACATTTTTGTAGTAACTGTTTCAAGTGAAAAACATTTAATTCATTAAGGAATATCCATGAAATACTAATCAATACAAATGTATCGCAAATACTTTTAAAAGAACAACTTACTTCTAAAACTAAATATTTTCTCATGCTTATTTATGAACAAGGATAATTTATAAATAATTCTGCATGATTCATCTAGATGACAATGGAGATGAAATGTTGTCAGAACAAGAGTTTATGGAGATGCCAGATCCAGATGAAACAAATCACTCAACAGCTGAATGGAAACAGCAAAGACTTAAGGAATTTCGGGAGAGTATCGATGTAAATCATGACGGAAAAGTGACAAGAGAAGAGTTAATAGTAAGTATCTATTACTATTTTTCAAAAAGAAAATATTAAGAATAGTCAAGAATAAATTACTAGTTTGTTATCCAAGTTTTCACAAAAAAAAAGTTAACACTGATTTTGCCAGATTTCTTTTATGCTGTTGTATATCTATATAACCATACTATTTATATCCTATAGAATCTATAAGTTTAAAATTATTTTTATAATTATTGAGGATTTCCTTTTATTTAATTCTTTTAATAAGAAGCTGTGTGTCTAGTATAAAATTGTAACACTATAGACATTAACTAGTTGACTTGTTTAAAACGCAAACAAAACATTTAAGGCAGTCTTAATAGCATGAAAGACCCCAAGTAGAGAAATATTTGGGGGCTCTATAACATGTAGAATCTAGCAAAAAAAAAATTCCATCATATAAAATCAATCACTTTTAAAGATAGACGTTAATCTTGAGAAAATTTAAATTTTAATTTAATAAATAGACAAAAGTATAATGATTTAATTTTTGTTTTTCTTAAAATGTCTGAACTTGTCATGGCTGTTTTCGTATGACTAATTGTATATACTAATACAATAGGTTTTCTATTAATGTAGCACTAATTATAAGACATTAAACATTTTTTTTCACTAAATACATGTTAAATTTACCAGAACTTTAACAATATTATTGATATACAGTCACATTCATGTCTAGCAAGCCCTGATTTAATAAAAAAATCGGAAATACTTGGTTGGTATAATGTTACATATTAGGGCATAACTTGCTTTTAACAAGAAAACCCTTAATTTAGTGAGTAATATTTTGTGACCAAAAGAAGTAACAGATTTAATTGAGAAGAGAAAAATTTGAAAATGATACATTTCGTAACGCTAATGTTAACACTTCCAAGTTACCTGCTCCTGATGATATTGTAGCTAAAATTCAAACTGAAACAAATAAATTAAAAACAAACAAACATTGAATGCTATTGGCTCCTGATTTGGGAGCAAATTGAGCTGATTTCTTCCCAAATATACATAATGGCTTATGAGAGTACAGAAAGAACTTTGAACTTTTTTCCGAAAGTGGAGATGAAATGATGTTTCTCAGACCATAAATCTTATCCAAAGGACAATAAGAGAGTTTAAGCAAATTAACTTATTTGTTAATGTACAGAAATAAAGCCAGCACTATATATTTATAAAGTGTGAATATTTTTCACGAACATGTTTTTTACGAGCATTCGGTTATAACAAGCAAATATTGAGTCACGTACTGCTTGTTATAAGCAAGTTAAACTGTATTATACATTTATTAAAACCATAACTATAGGATATTGAGAACATTTTCTTTTTTAAACAAGAATGGGTATATACTTTTTTATTAAAATATAAAATGGAGGTATTTCATTGAAAATAAAACATTTTGGTCTAGATATGTTCTTGTTATTTCAAAGCCTGTATTAAGGAGGGGTGCCAGAAGGGAAATGTGACAGTGACCACTTGAAATGTGACATTAAAAAGAAATATCTATAAAATAATAATTGGAAGGGTCCCAAGTAATGCCATGCCTAATAACCATACTTAAGTAATTGCTAATTTTTTTTTGTCTACTACTGCATTTATTTTTTTGACCAAATTACAAAGAAGGTAATGTGGCTTTTAATTTGCTACAAATATTGAAAACATTTCCAATATCACTTACAATTAAAATTTTAATTTTTTTTAATTTGTGAAAAAAAATTACCTAAAAAAAGTTATCTATATTTTTTCTATTGCTGTGCAGATGTATAATGATCCAGAAAATCCTGTTCATTCTAAGACTGAGGCTAGGAAACTTATAAGATTAGCAGACTCAGACAGAGATCAGCTGTTATCTTTAAAGGAAGTTCTCGCAAAGAAAGATGTGTTTCTTGGAAGTAAAATGATAGACACTGCACGTAGCTTTCACGATGAATTCTAATCTGTGATATTGTTGTGATTTGTTTCAACTTTAGTATTGTTTTTTAGAAATAAATATATTTTACAGTTACATCTTTTTTATTCATTCATTGCTAAAAAAAAATAATGGGCAGGAATAGGACTTACAGTTTTTAAGGTTCCAAAGTCCATTATATATTTGTAGAGTTTGGGGCAATATGGAGAATTTTACTTATGTATTTTATTGTTGCTTCAAGTAAAGTATGTTAGTTTGCAGAATTTCTACTAGATATATGTACAATACACAAAAATATCTTATTAATACAGAAATTGTTTTTCACTAAAAAACTTTCTTATAAAACATTCTTCTGAAAACGATTTGTAAACATACTTTCATTATATTTCCTTAAGTCATTCTGTATACAGTAAAAAAAGTAGACTATGCAGAAAGTTTGATAATCTGATAATTCCAGATACTGTAGCGCAAAAAAATTTCAATTTCTAATGTTATGTCTGGATAAATATTTTTATTAATGTTTATTTCCTGGTAAAACTGCCAAGTTTTAGTAAAAATAGAAATTATTGCAATTGATGTTTATAAAAAATATACAATAATGTTAAAGAGAAGAAAAACTATACTAGTTGTCCATAAAAATTATAAAAGATAAATTTATTAAAAAAATAAATAAATAAATTGCAAAGTGGAGAAACAACACTAGGTAGTAACAGTAAATAAAAATAAGAATTTTTTTAAAATAGTTTACTCTAACACGACAATGTTTATAATATGTATGTTGGAATGATTTGTTTGTATATTGTGGTTTTAGGATTAAAATTTTATTTTTGAGAGTCCAATTAGTTAGATAAAGCCTGGAAATTTTTACAAAACATAAAATTTAAATAAAATTCTTTAAAGCAACTAAAGAGAAGCTATTCAAAGACAAAAGTAACAGTTAAAAATTTAAATGTAAACATAAAATATACAAATACAATTTCATTAAATCATATAAAAATGTATTTATCATTTAAGCATTTAAGACGATAAATGTAAAGAAAATAAACAATTCAAATTAAATGAAAATTTTAAATTTGCAAACATTTCTTCATTAAATCAAATAGAGGCTCAATTTAAAAAAGAAATCATCAAAATTCAAGCATGTATAAGTTACAAATTCATTTTATTGCATAAAAATATTAATTTGCTTTTTAATAATTCATAAAATTTGTTAAGTCTGTTTATTTACAAAATATTAGAAAGGTTGATACATATTGTACGGTTATTCAGTATCAAGGATCAGTATTGGCAGAATTTAAATTTTCAACAAAAGTTTTGAAAATCTCAATGCTTTTTTTAAGTCTTGTTTTATTGTAGTCTGGAATTTTGTTTGGAATATTTGCTTCATCATTCATGTCATCTGCTTTAAGAGTTGAATTATATTCATCAATTTCTTTGCAAAGGCGTCTACAAAATAATTAAATATATTTAAAAAGGTGCAAATAATAAAACTTTGAGATTTTAAAAAAAATTTAGTTATTAATAATTAAACCATTTTAAAATGTAACATTACGTAATTTAAAAAATATTTAGGAAAATGAAAAACATTAAAATGAAAAATTAAAAGAATTAAATTTTTAAATTTTTTTTTTTTTTAAGTTTCTAACTTGTGCACAAAATTTAAAATTGGTATTTTTTAAATTGTTTGTATACTTAACACCAAGGATATGTTAAGTTTTTTTTTTCACTCTGCAGTGAATACAAGATTTTACTAACAATAATCTAGTTAATGTAAATGAGAAAGACAACAAAGAAATAATGTAATAGGCACAACAAGTTTGACAGGCAGATGTTTCTGTACTATAAGTGTGTTTTATAGAATAAAAAACTGCTCTTAATACTTGTTTATAGACTTAGTTTTAGAAAAGAACATGGTGTACAAAAATAACATAGAAACAATGTAAAAATCACCCCCCAAAAAAAAGTAATAGCTTATATGAAAGGGTTAGCAAGTACCTAGTATGCATGTCACACAGAACAAAAAACAACTGATAATACTTGTTACTGAATAATGATTTCAATAAGATGTTACAATTAGATATATTATAATTGAAAAATATTATTTAACACTCAATAATTATTTTTAATCAGAATAATTAACTATCAAAGACTTATTTTCTTATGCATGTAGTATTACACTGAAACCTGTTTTTGTGTGTTTTTTTGGGCGGTATATGAAAATTTCAATCAAATTAGAGCATAATTGAGGAAGTTATCTGTAAAAAAATTAGTAGATTTCATCGGTCTTTTAGTGTTTTCGATTTTGGATATGCATTTCATCACATTACATAAGAATTGCATCAGTCAATTACATTACATAAGTATTGAATTCTGCAATTTCACGATTTAATTGTTGAACACACAAGAATTTTCATGTAAATAAATGAAATGTGCAATATCATTGTGATGGAATTTATGCATAGCAATGCAAAACTGCATTGATCGCTAAGTTGGTTTTTGTTAATGAGATAGTTGACTAGTCTCATGCTTTGCTTTAACGAATAGTTTGAAGAAGTTTACTTGAAGGAAGCAAAGAATTGTTTTTTCTTATACCTCTCTGATCTGTGTGACCTCTTAGTTTAACTTTTTGCGTATTTTGCTATATTGAGAACTGTTAAAGCAAAATGAAAATTTTTTGCCCACAATTATAAAATTCCTTTGTCCAAAGATGCCATGCAAAAAATTTTTTTAGTAAATATTTATTATTTTATTTAATAATAGTTGAAAAATTTTGAATTGTACGGTATACAATATTTTATGTCCTTTTAAAATATTTAGTTTTACATGACAAAATGCAAAACTTGAGCGAAATTGAGCTCATGAGAAATTAAATTTTTTATAATCCATCTTTTTTAAAATCGACTTCTCAGAAACTATTAAACCGATTTTGCACTTATTTTGTATGTTAATTTAGATACTTTAAAATGATGTGAAAAGTTGCATACCTTACAATTAAAAAAATTTTTTTTTTTTACTATTATTAAATTAAATAATAAAAAATATTCACTAAATTTTATTTTTTGCATGGAATTATCTTCAGATAAACAAATTTTAAAATTGTGTGCAAAACCTTTTCAATTCGCTTAAGAAGATTTCAAGATATGGCAGATAATACAGAAAAAGTAAAAATAACATTAAGCAGGGTTGCTAACTACTGGCTTTTTGTAAAATTTTTTAAAGAGTGGTTGACATTTAAAAACCAAAGCTTTCAGATATTTCCGAAATTTTGCCAATATTTTAAAAGCCTCAAAACGAAAGAGCTAGAATGAAGTGGCATTGCATACGAACTTTTAAATCATTAATGAGTAGTGCTGTGGAAAATAAGTTTAAATGAATAAAATAATACATTAAAACAATAACTTATTATCACTAGAAATTTTTTTTTTAAAAAAGCGTAGAAAGTTGGCAGCCGTGATTAAGGGATCCAAACTTTGGATCGCTCTGCTGACAAAACTAAGCTGGCAATATTTCCCAAATTGCACCCACCCCTCATGTTTTGGGGGTGCAAAACCCCAATCCAGTGAAATAAAGTATGTTTAGTCAGAGAAAGTATGTTTCTGTGTTTAATTTTGTAACTCAAGATATTGTCTGCACTAATTAATTAATATATTTGAAGTCACCCCCTTGAACCATTAAGAATGAGTCCTAGAACATTAAGATATGTTAAAAAGTTAGTCAGGATGCTCTGGTTTTTTTTCTATTTGACGAACTGTACTTTAGTACAAATTACTTATTGAGTTGACAATTACAAATACCATATTAAATTTTATAATCAAATGCTTTTAAGTGTGAATACTTAAACCAGAGATTCTGATCTCTGGTTGGAGTTTTAAGTAGCAAACATTAAAAATTTTATTTGTTTCCTCAAGCTTTTTGAGTAGTTTAACAACAAAATGTATTTCTGCTAATTTAAGACACTATGAACTAATTAGGAATAAAAATTAGTAAGTCACATTTTGTTTTGTATTTTGAAATGTTGTCAAATGAAATGAGAAGGATGTGTATCATAATAATGTTATTAAAAAAGTCAAAATTTTATAAACTAAGTAGAAATGACAGGTAACACAATAAATAATTGTAATAACTGCCAAAAAACCATCAGAAAAGATGAGAATTTGCGACAAAATAGAGTAAGAACATTGCATATTAAAAATGACAGAATGAAAGACGTCGAAGTGGCCAAAAATATCAGAAAACTATGTGAATTACCATATTAAATCCTTATGAATCAGGTGTGTATAGTTTACAAAAAATTCGTAGTAGTTGGAATTTCTGTTTAAACTGACACTTAAATTCTATTTTTTAATTTAATATTTTTGTGTAAAACTAAAATAAAGAAAAAGAGTAATTTTTTTGAAAGATCAGATTGTAAAAATTTATAGCTTTCTGGTACTATATTAAATTTAATTTCTTTAAATTTAGTTCTGATAATGCTTATATTTAAGCAATTTTTTTTGTTCCCTTTTACTAAAAACGATCACCAAACGCAATACCAGAAAGAAACTGAACAAAATGGTGGTTTTTCCATTTTGTCCAGCTTTTACTCTAGTTTGTACTAGTGTCCTAGAAGAAATAGGTTCCTTCATGACAATTATGTTTCAAAATATAGTAAAAGAAAATTTAAAATACTTACGATATGGTTGGTACATCAAAAGGATCAAAAGAATCAATTTCATTTGGATCAATGGGAACACATACACAGCCTGTTTTAGGATGAACACAAAATGGAGCTTTTAACAAATGGTTTAAACCTTTTGTTACATTGATATCCAACCTGGGATAGCATAACTGGAACATTACTTCAGTAATGAAATGTTTAGAACGATTCTTGGAGCCTTTCTATATTAAAATAAAAAGTACAGAACTTTCTTTTGCAGAAAAGTTTTAAAAATAGAGCATAAATGGGTAGTTTTATAGAAAATAATTTGAAGATACACAATCCAAAAAATAAAATATCATAGAAACAGGGTATCTGCTACATTTTAGATTTTCAAATTCATGACTAATTCCAAGAATTTTTCATGACTTTACGAAGTTACTATTTTCTCTGACATAAACACAATAGTAAATTTAAAAAAGCATAATAATAACATTGATTGAAATTATAGGTGTAACCGAAACTGTTATACTCTGCATCTTCATATTTATAGATTTTTAATTTAAAAAACAGAGAAAATAAAGATCTGAAGCAACAAAATAGCTCAGAAGTAATTGTTTTTCCACAGAATTATATTCTAAAGATACTTTTTCCTGTTCACTGGAAAGGAAAGAAATACTCCCAATTTTTCTGTTCTCATTTCGGAATAAAAATAATTCATTAATCACTGGTTTGCTTCAACTAGAATTTTAAAAGATAAAATAAAAAAATAAATAATAAAAATTCTGAAATCACAGAAGTTTAAAAGATAATTCGCTCTAGAAATGACGCTTTTTTGTGAGTTTTTTTTTCATTTTTCGAAAGAACATGATAAAAACATTTTATATTTTCATAAAATATGACTGTGAGTGGGGAGTTTGTTACAAATTCAGATATTCGGAACACCAAGAAATTGGGGGAGGGGTAAATTCCAGTTTAATAATTAGATATTTTGGCGACCTAAATTCATGACTTTCCATGACTTTTTTTAAAAAAAAAATAGATAAAATCATGACAAATTTTGTTCATTACCAAAATTCATAACTTTCCATGATTTTTCATGACTTTCCAGGTGCGCAGATACCCTGTAGAAAGTCTAAATAAAGTTGATAAATCATAATTTCGAAGAACAATTTAAAAACTTGACATTTGTTTTTTGTTACGTAAGAAAAAGCCTTGGTGCAAAGTTCTGAAAACTTTAAAAAGCTTTATATAAGCAGCTTTTAAAAGAAAATCAAATAAAAATTTCTTTAAATCTGTCTACTCAACAAAACTAAAAATTCAAATCTTATAGCTGTGGTGGAACTTGAATTTATAAATGTTGAACAGGGTGACCAATCAAAAGAAAAATCAGTCAAAAAAGATATAAAATAGCAAAATTTTCTAAATAATTTTTTCCCAGTTTATTATTAAAAATGAACATTAAAAAGAATGTAGTTTAAAATATACATGAATGGTTATGCTAATACATAGTAATAGTTACGAATTCCTTATTATTCAGATATTGAATATTGATAATTAAATAATATAAATTAAAATTTAACCACTTTCTAGACTCACCTTCATCGCATTTAACATTCAGTCATTTACATTATAGTTACGATGGATAAATATGCCAACTTGGAGGAATTTCTTTGGTTTCAATTTCAGCCAATTTTTTAGTGGATCAAACATGCTTTGTGTATTGAATAAAGTTGAGTTTTCAATTTCAGAAAAAAATATTTAGTATAATTTAAGTTGACTATTATTTTTTAAATGAGTCAACAAATTTTATAAATATATAAAGTTTCTTAATAATTATTAACTGATATAAATAAAGACAAAAAATGATATATGTATAAAAGGATTCTCAATCCTTAAGGTATTTTCCCTTATTTTTCTATGTAAAATAGCTCTGACTGAAAAAGCAAATAACACATTAATGGAGCAAGCTACAGAAGTTACAATAGTCTCACACAGATAAATGTTCCCTGGCAAGACAAGTCTTAATGAAAAAAGAGTAATCTCTTTACTAGGCCATTTAATACTTTAACTGCCGACCCGGAACTCATGTAGGAGTATGAGTCGTTTCCTTAACTGTGTATGTTTTTTTCTTTTTTGTGTGTTCAATAAAGATTCTGTGTTTGACAGGAAGATATTTTGTACAATTCAGGTAGCGAATCAGTTGTTGAAATAAGGAGCATCACCAGTTAATCCGTTAATAATTCAAAACAAGCCATTTTTTAAAAAAGTGTACACAATGCAAAATATTATTAAAAAATTTGATTTGGTTTCATTTAGGAGATATTTACATGTTCTTGTATTTTCAGAACTAGAAAATAAGCAAAAAATTAAAAGAAAAAATTATGCCAGATTTGCAACTATTGAATTTCAATATTTGTTATTTTTCAATAATTTTTACAAAATCTTTATAGTAATACTCTTGATTTCCATTGCATGATATATGAGAAAAAATATTTTTGTTATGTAGAAAAGCTGTCATTTTAATAACCCTTGATAAGTAAATTTAAATCACTTTTGCTAATCTTTTTACTGATAGACTTATTAAAAATATACTTATTCTTATACTTCCTTTATGTCAAACAAATTAGTATAGCTTAAAGGAAATACCAAATCATAGAAATACATAGCTTTGTCAAATGTGCATTTTAAGAATGGCCTCAGCATTATTGTTCACAAAGAGAATTTTTTTACTAAATTAATGATGTACTACAACTTTATAGTTCAGAGTTCCCACTTATCTTGTAATGTTTTCGAGATAGAGAAGATAAATCTGCAGTTTTGCACTGTAAGTAGTTTCATCTTGAAGTGAATACTCGCTTTACAATTAGATACTATGTTTATACTAGAACTGCAGCAATTCTGCTATTTAGTCAGTGGATATGGACTTGAAAGGGCAACAGAATATTGTTAAATAAATAAGTAAATTAGGACAGTTCTAATCATAACAGTTAAAAATAAAGAGTTCAAAATTTTTTATTTAAATCATTTTAGTCTATTTTATTTATTTAACTGTACACAAAAAATGATTAAAAAATACTCACTTGATGCATTACTGTTTCTTCAACTTCCTTAATGACTTTCCACTTTTTAGCACTACCACTTTCATTAATTAAGCCACTTTTCAGTATGTCTTTACCAGTTATTTAACATTAAGTAAAATGACATGATTAACAAAAAGTAAGACAATTATAACTTGAAGTAGTGCAATTAAATCCTTACTTATTAGCACTACCACTTACATCTTAAGCCACTTTTCCATCATGTCTTTACCAGATATTTCACATTAAGTAAAATGACAGGATAATCAAAAAATGAGATATTTATAACTTGATGTAGTGCAATTGAAACCTTACAAAATAAAATGGCTCATTAGATTTAGCTGACAAATAAAAGTTTAAATTTTCAATTCAGTAGAAACCCAAATAATTTAACTACACATTTTAAGTATAAAAAGTAAATTTGAATAATCATTAAAGAAACATAAAATTTGCATGAAAAATGGAAAAAGATATTCTTGAACAAATAAGTTTAGAGTAAGAATCCAAAATTAGTATCTTGCAGGGAAAAAAATTACTTTAAATAACACAAGAAATAAAGAATATTTTTACTCCGATATTAAAAAGTTTGCATTTTTTGTAGTCTGAAATTATAAGGAAAAAAATTTAAATGAAAAATGCCTAGTTTCAATAAACTAAAATATTTAACTACAATTTAAGTACATATATTAAAAGGATATTTTGATCTAAACACATGGAAATGACTTTCTCACAGTTTTCAGAACTCTCAAAGAAATCTTGTTTATTTATTATAAGATCTTCAAAATACTCTTTAATGATTGTGTCAGCTTCACTAAAATAAGAAGACACTTGAATTAATAATAGAAAATTCATAACAATCGTATGAGAATTGAAAGTAGTAACTTTAATAATAAAATGAATAGAGTTTCAAATTTTATAACTTTTCTACTAAGTTAAAACTAGGAGGCTGAACATAAGAAGGATTGAAGGTCAGGGGTGATTGTGGGCCCAACTAAAAAATCCTGAAAATTTCTTGAGTAAAATCATTCAAAAAATGTATATCTTTATAAATTTAAATCATTGTTCAAAACATGATATTCTGAAAGAATTATATGCAGCATAATTTAAATGAATAATTATGTGTAAGTTTACTTTTATCTCTAATCACATTTATTATTCTACCAGAAAAAATATTTACAAATGAAAGAGATGCCAAGTATAAATTCTAGTTCTAATATTTTTAAATAAAATATACAAGAATTTTTATATATAAATGTGATCGATGATTTTTTGAAACTCCTGAACTTTAGAATTCCAGAAACTTTCGGATTGCGGTTAGTGAAAAATCCGGAATGCAATCACCCCTGGAAGGTGCCAATTTGGCCTTCTTCACATTGTTTGTATGTAGATTAATTACACGTCCAAAATCTCAAAATAGAATCATATTTAATCTAATAAAAACCAATTATAGACTTGATCATCAAAATTCTATGGTATTTTATTCAATTTGAATTATACAAAAATATTTGATTAAACAGAAAACTGACTTTTCAATTATATTTATAGCATATTAGTTTCTAAGATTTTTGAGTCTCCTTTTCTCAATAAATAATAATTATACATATGTTAAAATACTTTTAACCGACCAGATTTATGGGCACATGATGCGCCCACTTAAAGCTTGGGGGGAATTTGTACACTAAATAAAACGAATAGTTTTTTTTTGGGGGGGGGGGGATTTTNTTTTCTTTTTTTTAAGTACATAAATAAAAGAAGCAACGTAGCACTATTTCGAACAAGCTAACATGGAAGGGGGAAGTCAGCAAATTTTTTTTGGGAGGGGATGAATGCACCCAAGAGCTTGGGGGGGATGGGGGCCACTGTATACATTTCTATAAGGCTAACATATGATTATTAAATAACCACTTAAATTGGATCAAATTAAGAAAAGTCAGAAATACTCAACACTTTCAGAAAGTTACTTCTCTAAATTACAGAGTAAAAAAGAAAAAAAAAACGAGAGGGGCCAAATTGTCTTCCATCTGTTGTTCTAATGTTAAAAACTATGTTAAACATTGTGTTAAAACATCATTAACATTATGTTCAAACTGACACACATATTAACAGAACTGCATTTTAGTATAATATTCTTAACTGAAAAAAAAAGAGCATAATTTTAAGTACTTTTACGCTAATTTACTAGCAACTTTATTTTGCACAAACTGAACTAAAAATGTGTATTAAAAACTCTGTCAAAGAGAATGAGATTTCAAAGGTAATTGGATCCACTTTTTCTAGCATTTTCAATGGTATAATTTTGTTACTAATCTGTTAAAGAAATTGCCTAAATGCTAGTAGCAATTGAAGTAATTTATTTATAAAATTTTTTTCTTCATAAAAATAATTTTTTTAAAATTTTACTAATTACTAACATATGTGCAGTATATATATTTATGTATAGATAGTGGAAGGTGGAGTAATACCAAGCAGCTAACATTTAAAAGGCTTTGGGAGATTGATTTAACCAAGATATTTATTGTCCAGTTATGTACAATATATATTTTTTGATAAGTCATAGATATATTAGTTTTTTTTAAATTTTTTATAAAGGATTTTTTCTAGAAAAAGTCTTAACCACCCAGTTTTACCACACTGGTGCGGTAAAAAAGGGTACACACGTTAAAATTAAAGAAATACTAGAATTTCAGTGAAAAGTAACAGGCATTTCTATTTTATATAGCAATTTAATAAAATTATGCATGTTATTTACACGTGATACAGTTCAGACACTTAAGGGGTAGGGGGGAAAAGAAGGACAATCGTCTTGCGGGCCCAACCGAAATTGCTGATTAATATTTTCTTCAAAAGAAAATGGCTGAAAATTTGTTTTTATCTATTTAAAAACTCAGTCTTCAAACATTCAATAAAATATGAAAATAAGGCTTTTTGTGCTTTGGAAAGGGGCCCAATAAATTTTGTCATTAGGCGCATGAAACTTTTGTTCAGCCTTGGATGCAGTTACATTCTTCTACCGTTGCACTGCAGCTTACGTGGTCCTAGAATAGACGCACATCAAGGGGTGGGATCAGGCAGAGTAGTACCAGGTTTTACCGTGTAAGCAGAGGTTATCCAAACGACACAGTACAGTTCTATTTATTGAGTTAAATATTTATTGTTTGTTAGGTAATAAATTTTTAGTATACGTTTAAAATGCTAGAAAAAAAGTAATTTGCACGACTGTAATGACCAAAAAATAAGGGTAGCTTGAAAACCTGAGAGCATTAGAGAGTTGATATAGTAAAATTAACTTATGTACACAGGCCATCAACAACATGCATTTATGGTAGATCCTTATTGACTAATTAAGTGTAACTCACAGTTACTCCACAAGAAAATGGAACTAAATTTGCAAAAATCAAGGTTTCCAGTTCTATTCCACTACCCAGTTCCATCCCACTCTCACCTATGTATATATATATTAAATATGAAATAAATAATGCAATATTAAAAATAAATATTTATTTAGAATGTTGCATTTGTTGAATCTATTATTTAATTTTAACATCACGATCGTATATATTTAAACTTAGAATACAACATAAGGGAAAGAAGAGATAATTTAAGATCGATTTACGCTACTAAGTAAAAAGACTAAAATATTAAATACTAAAAAAAAAGAAAAGATTAAAATACTAAAAAGAATAAGTTAGTAAAATAAATTCAGACTAAAATAATGATCAACATTATTAAAGTTATCTCAGTGCAACCGTTAAGAATTACAACAAAAAAAATCATCTTGTTAAAACGTATCTCTTAGTCTCGAATTAAAGAAGATGTTACTTATTATTTTGTGATCTTAATAAGGCCATATATGATCTTAATATGGCAATCATACAACGTTTGATGTATATGTGCAATAATGCCTCTTCACTAAAACACAATGTTCAACAGATAATCACCACTACTGCAATATTTCTTCCATAAAACTAAAACAAATGTCTCCATATTGATAATAAAATGTGTTTGTATAATGACGACTAATGAACTTCAAAGTAAGTAAGAATTTATAACTCATGAAGAAAAGTATAAACATTTGTCTTACCCGATGCTTGGATGTAACATTTCAGGTAAATGAACTTTTTTTGATTTATATTCACCACCCTAAAAGAAATGACAGAATAAAGCATAACTGTTTAATAAACCTAATTACTGTCTTTATGCAATCGTTTCCTTGTATTTAAAAAAGTACATTAAAATTTATTTTTATTATCGAGTCCCTTTATCGAAATTAAAATATCTTGATTAATGTATCTCTAAAAACAATTTTTTCGAGCAAAATCATCATAATACTTAAAAAAAAAAAAAGAGAGAAATATGCTTGTGGCCTGTTCTCTGTCATATTTCATAAATATAAATGAAGTAATATTTTGTTAAAAATGTATATACTATTCTGAAAACATTAATACAATAAATTAATCTGAATACATAGATAAATTGCAACAAACTAGTCATACTGTATTAGATTAATTAGAGATCCAGCAAATTTATCACAAACACAAATATTCAAAAATATAAAAAAATACAAAGAACTGAAATAATAATAGTAAAAAAATAAAAATGTTGCAAAATTACTTTTATTTAATGTTTAGATATCAAAAAGAGAATGGGGAATGAACTTAAAAGTCAATTTATTTTCATACCCTCACAACACTAAGATATTCAACAATGGCTGTCCGCGCAGTTGGGCTTAGTTCTCTAGCTTGTTTATCACACACCCAACAATGAATACCTCTTCTTCCAGAATAAACCCATAAAAGATGATCAAAACCAAAGTCCTCTATAAAAATAAAACAAATGTATAACATTGAATCTTAATTGACATTACAACAGTATTTAACTAGAAAACAGTATCAATGAATAAAAAAAGTACATATTATGTTCTTTAGTATAACCCCCCATTAAAAACAACCCTTCCATTTTATGATTTGCAATTGCAATTTTGTTTGCCATTTTATGCTGTTTATAGATGCAATGTTATTTTAAAGTTTATTAGAGTGTCAAAACTGCACCATTTATTACAATAGTGCAGGGTTTGAAAAAACCCGTGATTTAGAAAAGTTTTAAAGAAAAATTATTGAAACCATCGTTTTCTTTGGTACCCCTATGTAACAAATGTAAAGAAACCCTCTTTGAATGAAAAGGGAGTAATATGACCCCCAAAATTCACATCCAAGTTTTAGGGGGTAGTAATTTAATATCAGTCATAATCTGTGTAACATTCTTTTCAAAATACACAATAAATTTATCAACAGTATTTTCATTGGTTTAAAATGACATGCATCCTTTTTGGGAAATGCCAGTTGCCTTGCATGTATTTTATAATTAAAACATGTGGTCTTTACAGTTATCTTGACTTATGCAGGGGTGATTGTGAGCCCAACTCAAAAATCCTGAAAATTTTTTGAGTAAAATCTTTAATATTTCAAAACTTGAAATCTAAATAAATTTTGTACAGCATAATTTAAATGAATAATTATGTGTAAGTTTACTTTTATCTCTTATCATGTTTATTATTCTATCAGAAAAAATATTTACAAATGAAAGAGATCCCAAGTATAAATTCTAGTTCTAATATTTTTAAATGATATATACAAGAAATTTTATGCATAAATGTGATCGATAATTACTTGAAACTTCTGGACTTTTGGATTTCAGGAAACATTCTGACCGTGATTAGTGAAAAATCCAGATTTTTTCCGGAGCACAATCATCTATATTTATTGAAAATGGCAGCCCCGAACCATCATATCATTTTTAACCAATGAAGTATTATTTTAAAAGGAGCTTTTATACATACACTAGTATATAAAAAAGTTACATTATTATTAACTTTTGTTAAAAATGGCTCTGTTCAAAATGGATCAATTTTTTTTAGCTAGGGGCAAGAACATTTATTTTTGATCTACATACGTTGATCTTTATATTGAGCATTGACTGTATTAAGGAATCCATATCTGTTGAAAACTCAAAGTGTAAATTAAAACACAATATTATAAAGTACAGATTATGAAGAATAAAGGATTAAAAGCAGTCTCATAAATTTATCAAAATAGAGTGAAGTTGGATGAGTTGACCTGCGATATTAGTCGCATAACCTGTTAACTTGAAAATTAGTTACATAATTTGTAAACTAGATTTAAAATGAAAGAAAATAATTTATAAAATATACACAACAAAGATTATAATGATGTTGGATACAGGAAAAAATTAATGGTCGCCATCAACTGACTAAATATAACATATGGTGTCAGAAGATTTCACGGCATTCTGAATTTTATACGTCATGCTTGTTACTTTACATTTTTCTTCATTTTAGAAATGAATTATATAATGTTTACCACATTTTGAGAAATGTTTCAAAAGAAATGTTTAGTAATATTACTAACAACAGTTTTTTTTAAAAATTGTTAAAACTTTCAATATTTGAAAAATAAACTACACTGTTAAATGGGCCAGTGGGCACTGTTAAATAGTGGCCACTAGCAAGTTACATTATTTTTTAATTTTGTTACCATAGTATGGGAGTATCGAACAAAATTATATTGCAGAAACATACCTCTTAAAGCTCGATCAAGAATCTTTAAAGCAATGGTCATAAAAACCCAACATTTTCGACAAATATCAGCTCCGCTACAACATGTCCGAATTTCATCATAGTCTGTCATATCAATATCAAAAACTAGCTCTTTTTCGACTGGATGGAAATTTGAGGCAGTTCGTTGGTCACTTGGCTTTAAAAAATAAATAAAAAATATAAATATTTCAGGTACAATATAGTTAAAATAAACATTTCATTATATAAATGTCACTATAACTATAAACTCATTTCATTCTTAGAAATACTAAAATAAAGAAAACCAGGTTAGAATTAGGGCAAACTTTTATGATATCTAAATAAAAGTTTTATTTTGTAGGGTGACCAGGGGTAATTCACGATCACTCTGTTTCTGGGGTAAATAATGATCACCTAAGTTTTATTTTTAAAAAAAAATTTTTTTTTTAATTTGAGACCTGGACAAGAATGCTTATACACTTCACTAAAGTATAACTACATTTACTTAATAATAGTTTTTTGTTTAATCTAACAAAATAAGTATCTTTTAAACTGCTTTCTGTATTTTCCATTTCAAAGATGGGTTCCAAAAAGTGCACATTTCTGCAAAGATCCTCCTCCTTCTCTTAATAATAAATATTTTGAGTTACTTTCTATTTCTTTGATATAAAAGTAGTGTAAGCTTTTGTTTAATTGTTTCACATCTACTGTAAACATTATAATTGATTATAAGAAACTATATCAAATGTTGCCCCCTACAGATGGGGTAATTATTGATCACTGGGGTAATTCCTGATCATTGTCATTTCTTCTTATAAATAGTATATAAATTAGCTAATAAATAACTAATTGTCTTTTCTTAAATAACAGTTCATATTTATTAAGTGGAACAACTATAAAATATATTTTATCTGCCATCACAAAATTTGTTTTTAACTGTATACCAGACTGTATTCTGATTTGCACCATTTCTGGTTTGTCTTACCTTGCTTCTATCTTAATTTTATGTGTGTACATTGTTAGAATAATTTTTAAGTTTATAAATTAGCCTAGTATAAATATGGTGAGAAATTATTAGCCTAAAAAGGATACTAAGCTTCTAGAAAGCAAAATTAGTGAATTTCTTTTAATGATTGAAAATGAAAATTTCAGTGTGAGAGCTGCTGCCAGAGCTGTTGACATACCTTACTTAACTTTACACTTTCCCTTAATGAAGTTAAAAAATCCAGCAAAAGTAACCCATGTGGGAACTCTCTTATATTTCAGAAGAACATGAGAATGAGTTGGCTGATTGCCTAAAATGTATGGCACGATGCAAAGATTTTTGAAAATTTAAAGTGTTAATCGTTCTTCTTGCTTTTAAATAAATCATTTTATTAGCTGCTTAAACATATCTTTTTGGTTTATTTGTTTGATCTTGATGTCTTATTTGTTAATTACCATTATATAATTATTTTTAAACAGCCCCTTTACAATAAAAACTGGTGATCAGTAATTACCCCAGAAGTGATCAGGAATTACCCCAGAAATGATCAAGACCAGGGGTAATTCCTGATCACTAAAAATTTAAAATCTTTTAAATTCTAATTAGATTTTCAAACAAAAGAAGGTGGCATAGGACTCATCTCATATAGCCTCAAACTTCCAGTAAATATTAAAATTCTATTTTGAATAGTTTTTTCACAAAATAGATGTTTGCATTTTTTGATCAAGAATTACCCCAGGTCACCCTACTTTTCAGTATTTCATATAGTTACAACATTAAAGTAGTTTGAATGCCTGAACAAAAAATTATTACTTTTCTTACAAAACATTTTCTTGTAAAAAATATTGATATTTTAAAAATATTTACAAGCTCAAGTAAAATTTATGGTTAACTTTGAACTTAAATAAAGCATGTTTTAGATAAAGGGTTGAATTATAAAAGTAATTTTCAACAACACATTTTCTGTTAATTTTTCTCTACCACTATGATTTTATTTATTATTATTTGCTTGAAATTAAAAGTGGTATACTTAATATCACATTATAACGTAACAATTTATGAAAAAAATTTGTAAATGTTTATAAAAAACATATTGAAAATGGGTTTTGTAACTTAACATTTTGTAATTAAACAGTANGAGTGCATCTTTATGGATAGCTGATGATTCAAATTATCGTATGGATAAAGTGAAAAAATTGAAAAGTGCTAATTTTCAATAATATTGATCATAAAATGAAATTTGTCCCATTCATCCCCACTCTCCTCACATATCTGTCAAAATATTCAAATGTTTGAAATACTAAAATTGCAATAAAATATTAATTTTACACAATGCTACTAAACCATCAGGCAAAAAACATTTAACTAATTTTATAATAACCAAAAATTAAATAGAAATTTAAAAAACAAAATTTATACTATGTTACACTGATTATCTGAACAAAATCAATTAATTTATATTTTATTCCAATAAAATTTGGTACTAAATTAGTGTTAATGCAACAAAAAACTTTAGGATTATTGAATAAATTTAATTTTTATGTATAACAATTAATTTGTTTTTAAGAAATAAAAATGATATCGTAACAATGTAAAATCTCTCAAAAGGGCATATTTCCATATCATGATCTGTCACGTCAACTACAACTTTCAAATTGATTTTAAACTTGCAAATTTAAAAAAGAAAAAAAAAAAAAACAGAGGCTAACTCAGAGGTAACTACAAGTTGTACCCTTCTGTAATTTCTTTTAAAAACTTCAGTGGGCTGCTACCAAGAAGTTGCCAAGACTTGGAGCTTATTCTGCTGCAGATCACGATACAAAAATCCTTATTCCCAAAAGATGATTACAATGCAACAAAACAAGTTATAAATAGCTAACAAATATTTAACTTTATGTTAGAAGCAGATTCTGCTATCTCAATAAAGACTCAAGAATAAAAAATTTAAAATATTTCTAAAAAAAACCAAAGAATGGCTTTTTTAATAAAACCTGGGTATTTTTTTTAAAAACTGGATTCTTACTCGACATGAATACACCGCTCCAATGTCGATTTTAAAAGGACATTTTTGTATGATTTCTTTTTTCAATTCCTCTTCGTCCCTAAAAGATTGATAGCGAATGTATACATCATCTCGAAGAGTGAAGGAGAATTCTCGATTAATGAACAGCTTATCTATAATAAATGAACAACATAAGAACTCAGAATTTTAAATTTAATGCACAAAATTAAACAGCATAGTAATATTACATATACAAAACATTATACAATAATATATTTATTATACACAATGTAATATTAAATATAAGAACAATTACCATCATTGTATCGAAGCCATTTATAGTAAAGAGAAAATGGAAACAATCGATTATAGTAGGTAGGTAACAAGTCAGGAAAAACGTTTGCGTCAAAAGACTCATTCATATTTTCGTCTGGAGTATCAACTTCCATTATGATAATTAATAAATTGATTAAAAAAATATAATTTAATGGGCAAGATATTCCGAAGTTTCGCGCTAAATAATTATTTTTGAATGCGCTTTAAGCTGCCTATTTCTGCTAGGCACAGAAGTTGTTGCCTTGCTTACTAACCTGATTGAAGGAAATTTCCTACAAAACTTATGAAATGTATTTCAAATAATAACGGCAACTTCTATTTACAAGTTTTATAGGTGGTGTTTTCTACACTAGGAAGTGAATAGTATTTCTTCTATGCATAGTACTTGTTATACCTGATTTATACCTGTATTATTCATGTTTACGAAAGTCCCGCAGTGGACTGATCGTTAAGACACGGTTCCCAACAGATCACCGAAGTCAAGCATCACTGGCTTCGGTCAGTGTGCGGGTTGGTGACCACTTGGATCAGCTTGCGTAGGGACCGAGGGTGTGCAGTATTGGTCCTCGTTAAACTGTTCTACAGTAAAGTGCTCGACTTCGCGTGCAGGTCGTCGGGTTACCGAAGCGAGGGTGCCATCCCCTCTGTAGAGGATCAAAATTGTAATGGCATGTCATCGGATCATCCTCAGGGATGTTTCCCAGACCGTCGCCAATAGCCCATTGTGCAGATCTAGTGCGACGTAAATGAACAACAACAACATGCTTACAAAGAGTTCTAAGTCTAAAACTCGAAGTGGCTCTCGTTGCGTAGCTTAAAATTTTAAACTTAACATTTGAAAAAAAGAAAAAAAGGAATAGTTATAAAGCATTTATCACCGTGTCAACAATATACTAAGTTTAAAATTTAAACCTAAACTAGTAAGTTAATTTGTAAAATGAACTTGATCTCACGAGGAGATGTTGCTGTTTAAATTAAGAGAAAATTACTCACAAATTTAAATTATCGTAATACTTGTTACTAAATTTTTTTTCTCCGAAGTTTTATTTGTATAGAATAGAGTAAGGAAAAGACTTTATGTTCATTTTAATAAAATTTTGTTTTTATTTAAAATAATAAATAAATTCGAAAATATTTCAAAGTTCTCAGATTAACTTTTTTTGCTATGCCAAGGAAATCAATGTTAACAAATTAACGATGAGAAAATAAAGATTTACTTCATATATATANCCCAAATATGTTCAATAATGTTCATGTCTGGGGAATTTGGTGGCCAGCGGAAGTGTCTAAATTCAGGAGAGTGCCGCTGGCCACCAAATTCCCCAGACATGAACATTATTGAACATATTTGGGATGCCTTGCAACGGGATATATAAATTTGCAATGCTGTCAATGGTAAAGTGCAAAATACATGCTCCCTCGTCACAGCTGGGGATCGAACCACCGACCTCTAGGATTGTTGACTCTAATTTAATTTGCTTTAAATTTCTTCAATTGTCAGAAGAAATAAATCCTTATAGTTTATATTAAGAAAAGGCATACTGTACATCTTAACATATTCAGCTCGAATATTATCTACTTAATGTGTAAATGAAGAAATCTAAGAGTGCGAGTTTTTGATTGCCATGTTAAGAATAGGAAAATCCGTGATTCAGTTTTGCTGTGTAAAATCTTCCAAAACATTTGCTACTGAAAAAAAATGTTTCCATTTGTGTTAGTATAGAGTTTTCATATTTTGTCCAATCCTTGTATGTAGATTTTATAGTTTTAGCCTTATTTTGAAGGTAGTGCTTTTTCAAAATAATATATCGATTTGGTGCAAAAATATGCAGGATCAAAGCTGAACATTTGCAGAGATACCAACTTGCTCCCGACAGAGGATAAATATTTTCCAGTGGTAGTCTTTTAATGTATGATTGGTTTAGTAAATTTGATTTATAGGGTTTTTACTCGCTACTAATTCCAAATAATTGAAAAGCTTATATGAAGCTCCACTTTGTTACAGTTAAGCCGTGTTGAGTCTTTTAAAACGTCAGCAAAATTTATCGAAAATCTGAAATTTTTAGTTTTATAACCATCGTTGAACTGCCGACCCAATTTTTGGATTTACGACTACTAATGTTCAACTACGTAGCCTTGTAATTTTCAACCTAATCCAGAAAACTTCTGAATCAAGTATTCGGAGAAATTTGCCTCAGTGGAAGACTTTTTGATGAAACTAACCAGCATTTGCGTCAAATGGGGAGGAAAATCACGAAGACCATCCACGGTTAGCAAGACGCAAAGGGACTCTAACCCATGATCCGTTTACCACTGAGGATATTCTTACGTCAGCACTGTGGTCGGTGCAATTCGGATGTAGGATTCGTATCATTCAGCCATTGCTGGGATTTGAACCCGGTTCACCTCATTGGAAGGCGAACGCTCTATTCTCTAAGCCATCACGACTCACAAATTTTAGTTTGTAGTTCTCTACTGTTTTTTTTAAATGTTTTTGGAATCATAAGCAGTTGGCACCTCTGTATTTGGTGGTAAAGTATAAGAAAATCTCACTTTTCTAGTGGTTTTGATTGGTTTTCATACGTCTTAATATTATACAGTGACACAAAATTGCCCTTTTACAGGAAGGTTTCGTTTTTTATTACCATATTATTGTTTCAGATTTTTCATAAAGCAGAATTTGAGAAAGAATCATAGGTTACAAATTAAAGGGTTCGTTAATGATGGAATTTTAACTAACAATATGGTATAAAAATAACGTTTTCGAAATAGATGGAAGTATATATTTAATCTAAGTAGATATTTCTTTCTGGTACTTACCACTTTAACTTTGAAAAGGCCTAAATATAGATTTTTATATTATTCATACGTATGGCAGGCAAAACTTTTTCCGGTTCTGAAGAACGTTAATAAAGAAACAAATGGCTACTACTTTTATTTTTTTAAAATAAGGAACCGTCTCAACAGCACAAGTGAAGATCAGAGGTGCGCATCGGTTTATATCTGAAAGATAATTCAGAGATAAATGAATTTCAAAGTATAAAATTTTCAAGAGCAAGCATTTGATTGAAATAGTATAAAAAAATTTCATGCAATCACAAGTATTCATTTACATCTCGTAAAAATTTCTGAAAAAAATTTAGTTTTTGATGCTGATCAAAAATAAAATTTTAAAATCGGGTTGGACGATAACCATTTTTTCCTCAAAATTTCGCCCCAATCCTTCCTCATGAGTTTTCCTGCTTTATTCATCACTACACTTTTCTTTCATCATTTTGCCTACTCATGAGCAGGAATCATTTTTCCTTAGTACGGCCCAATTTAATTGTGCAATAACTCTCGGGAAGAACTGATTTTTCCCACTACTAACTCGTTAAATTAAGTTTCACTTTTTAGATTTGCTAAAATTTAGTATAAAATGCAACTGATGGCGATCGAAATCCAATTTGTACTTTAGTGACCCTTGGTTTATACTAAATAAACATTTACAAATGGTAGAATAAAGCTTAATTGAAAATCTGTATTGCCTTTTATGTCAAAGCTAATCTAAACAAATCTCTAAGAAGCTAATAAGAAAAATTACTTTTCGTCATTTTTTTAAAAGTAAATTATCTTCTTGTCACTCTGTATGGCAAATTAATGAAAATTCTTCACAACCAATTCTCAAGTTATGGTCTTTTAAATTAAATATTTGTTTCACCTATTGCATTGTTTTAAGTCTATAGCTTATTTTAATGAAGATTCATGTTACAATAAATAAATAAACACATAAAAGAATTTTATTTACAGAAAAATAGAAAACTTTATTAATGATAATTATATATTTTTATCGACGTCAAGAAAAATTCTGCAAATAAGATAAAATTCTTCCAACATTCCTCTGTAAAACCAATGAACATGAAATAGGATTTTGATGATAAGTAGGATACATAAACAGTGATATTTAGTCGTCATAGAAAGAACAATTCATTTTAAGTTAGTTTTCATAAATGTACATATTCATTTCTGTGTTTTCTTATTTTACGAAGAGAAAAATATTCAAGTAAATTTCTCGGATCAATTTGTATTAAATTTCATCTGTACATGAGCAATTGTTTGTTGGTCATATGGTTGGTGCGTTGTTGTTGAGCGTTTGTTTTTCTTCCTTATGATTGCTAGTTTTTTCACAGTTGTCCAAACATTATAGTGGGAGGAGACGCTAATGTATGTTTACCTGAATCTGATTTATCAGAATATGAGTTCTCAGAATGTAATTCATCAGAATGTAAATGATCAGAATGTGGTTCATCAGTATTTGGTCTTCTAATTTGTCTCCAATTAATACTGAAATTTAGAGAAAAATTCACAGTTATGAATTTATTTTCAATCCATAGCAAATATATTTATTAGAGAGGTAAATTAAAAAAAAAAATGTTAAAAAATACACTAAAATATGTAAATTATGTAAAAACTGAAGTTTAAAAATATAGTTTTTACTTTTAAAGGGGATAAGAAAGTCTTATTCATGTACAATTGCTAAAATATAAATTTTCTTAGCGGGCAAAAAAAAAAAAAAAAAAAAAAATCAANAAAAAAAAAAAAAAAAAAAAAAAAAAAAAAAAAAAAAAAAAAAAAAAAAAATTCACAGTTGTGTCGCTAAAATTTTGTTTAACTAAAATAATTGATTGACAGTGCATTTATTGATGAGAGAATTCCAGAAAATGCTGATTGTGTTAAAAAAAACAATTTTATAAATCTTTAGGAAAAATCATCTCTGCTTATATCGTCAGAAATAGGCTACTAATTAAAGGAAATTCAATGAATCACTAAAAAGTAATTTCATACCATTCACAAGTACAAGGATTGTAATTTTTTTCAAACTCTTCAGCCTCTTCCACAGTTTTAGGAATTTTTTGACCATCCGTTTCAGGAAGAAATAGGGCGCATAAGACTGCGATGACCATAAGACTACCGAATACATAAAAAGGTACGAATCCACCAAACTGGTTCTAAAAATTTTAAATATGCAAATAAAGTATCATTTTTAATATTTATAAGCAATTTATTGCATAATAAATTTATTTTAAAGAGCAAGAATGCTTCATTAATTAATATGCTTTTTAATAATTTACTTTTTGAAACCTAATAAAGTAAAAGTAAATTTTTGTGTATGATTCCAATTCCTTAAAAAATAATTTTATAATTTTAATTAAATAATAATTTTATAATTTTTTCTGAAAATTTGCTGATTGTTATGTAAACATATAATAAATATTTAAACATGTACCATTTTTTTTTTTTTTTTTGCATTGCGAAAAATTATTTTAAATTCAAAATAGAATACGCAAAACGTTCTTAATTGCCAACCAATTATTTTTTTTTTATAAATTTGCGCTTATTTATTTTAATTTATAGGAGTTAAACTTTGAATTTTAATTCGAATGCCAAAGGTGTTGACGCAGTTTTACAAAACGTTAAAAGAAAAAAAAAATAGTTGATTCAATTATGAAGCCAAAATACATTTTTGAGTAAAGATTCAGAGATTCTTAGACCCTAAAAATACTATAATGCAGTAGCTACAGTACCCAATAAAAATGATAAATGGTTTCAAACTTCTGTTAAAGACTGACAAAATATTTAAGCTTTATATTGTATTCTAATCCAATATTATCAAAACTGGAAGTTAGAGACTCAAATAATTATCACTAAAGTTATTAACATGCCACGGTTATCAAAATATTCTACCTAACCAATAAAATATATGTATGCTCTCCATCTTACAATTACTATAGAATTTTCTTAGTTTCAGAATATATTTTGCCAAATGGTAGTAGCTAAGGTGCTATGCTTCATATTGTATTAAATTCAAATTAAAAAGATTTTGCCGGCTACTACATTCAACTAACTTAAACAAACATGTCAAATTTCAGTTTGACAAATGGTCATGCTTTAAGTGTTGATAAAAGTTTGATTAAAATGCCACTAGTTTTGGATTTTTTTGCTTTTGTGTATTACCTGCGGAAGAATATTTTGCAGAAACTTCAAATGTTAGTGGGTATGATAATGTTAAATTCTCTCAAATAAATTTTGGAAATTTTTTTATTTAATCGAAATTTCAAGAAAAAAGGCCATATCCAGGGTCAATTTTCTTCACTATTTTACCACTACAAGTGCATGACGCTGCAGTAGATTTTAATTATGACTTTATTGGTGCAGCAATCGTTCCATAGCTCTGCATTAGAATTCAATCATCACACTCTAACAATTTACTTGCACTGCAGTCGCATTTAGTAGCGCAGCAATAGCAGCACATTAACCAAATATATTCAAGAATCTGTTTTATGATTTTAGCAGTCAATTCTTATCTGTTATGTTTTTTTCCTAAATAATTCATGATTAAAACGAGTTAAAGATAAAGTTACATATAATGGAGAAGAGTCATAGTTTGATAGTAAGAATTGAATTATGACTATGTCGTAATTCTCTCGACGAATTTTTTTTTTTTTTTAATTTTTAACACGACGTTGCGACCAATCATAAATAATTTTAATGAGATAACTGCCAAAACCATTTTTACATTTTTGCAAATTGTTCTCTAATTTCAATGCTTTGTGGGGATTTTTTTAAAATTTATTTATTTTTTTGACGAAAGGTAATTAATTTTGCGAAAGTCTTAAAAAAATAAAAATATAAACATAAAATCAAAACTTTAACTTCAATTATTTTGTGAATTTTCTTACCAGAAATACAATATACGAAGAAAAGCACGCTGCAAAAGTTCCTGCAAAAAAACTAAGTTTTATGCCCAAAGACTTGAGTGGAACTGGGAGTAAATCTGGTAACTCTGGACAAAAAGCGTACAAAGCATTGTACGCTATACTTACACCAGCTTTAGCTATTATTGTTACTATGATATTAAATCGTTGATATTCTGCAACAAAAAATTTTTAAGCAAAATTAATAAATATTATCATTTATATTATAAAAAAAAGTAGCTCACAATTCTTACAAATAAGGTAAATTATATTCTCGTTTAGTAGATGTAAGAGCTAGATGTTTCAACTTGCCGTGAAGTTAGATTTACTTATGAGCTTGATGTTTCAGTTTGCCGTGTTGTAAATTTATTTACAAGCATTATGTTTCAATTGGTTTACCAAAAATATTCACGTGGTGTGGTAAAGAACCCTTTAAGGCAAATGAAAGTTTCTCTGAATGAGCAACAACTTTTCCTTTCAACCGGAATATCCATGTATTTGAGATTAAGAATTATTCCTTTAATCGTGATTGTTTTACGATAAACTTTCTAAAACAAGGAACATAATGCACGATACAAATTTTGCTACCACTAAAATGATTTTGGTGGATTACTGAGAGGCCTGGGCAATGTTCGTGCAATTCTTAGGAAGTTTCAATAGTGCTGTTAATGTTCTAATTAAGAAGCTACAAAATTCTTTTTATAACTTTCAATTTAAAGTTACAAATTCTATTTTATGATCTGGTTGGCCTAGATGGGCTCCTGAGGCCAATAATGGCCCTTTTCTCATTCATCCTGTAATGAGAACATATGCAAAAACAATAGACAGATTACATAAAATGCAACAAATAATGTCACAGATCAAGGTAGAGAAAAAAGAATGGCACTTTGCCATGGTAATAAGTAACAAATAATTGAATGTATAGAAAAGTTCAAGACATATTTACAAGTAGGGAAACGAAAATTACAAGAAGGAAAAATATTTACAAAAAATGGGAAGAATTAACAAATATTCATAATGAATAACGTTAAAATCATGAAAAACTTCTTTAACAAAAAAGTGTACCTCTGTTAAAGTAGAGACGGGTTTGAATTCACGAGCCGTGACACTCACTATCATTTTCATAAATAAATATTAAAAGAATTTTGTCTTTCACAACATATTAATTATTTAAAAAAGTATAGTTAATCATGCAATAATTCCATTACAGCAGTGTTTCCCAAAATGTGGAGCGCGTACCCCCAGGGGTACGGGAGCAGTTTAGCTGGGGTACGCGTTTTTATGCGAAATATCTTGCAACAAACGAAAATTTCAAAACATTTTAGTTAAAAAGTTATTTTTAGCTAGCCATGAAAATTTACGATTATGTATTTTTCAATTGACTATTTTTAGAGTTAACAGTTAATTAATTAATAGTGGTGTCAACAGCCAGTTGTGATTTTTAACTTTTGTACAATTTTTTTATAGTAAAAAATACATTCATTTTTTTATTAGTGGTACACAGCGTTACGAAAAATTTAGAAAGGGTACACAAAAGTCATAAGTTTGGGAAACACTACATTACAGCTATAGTTTAGTACCACAGGAAATATGTTGATAGGTAGTGTATTGGTTGAGTCAAATGCTATAACATAAAGCCACCTCCTCCTAAAACTAAACACATTCGCATGGGTTTTTAAAAGTAGTAGAGTTTGACCATTATGCAATGAAAACCATCAGTTTTTAGAACGTGAGAACATAGCAAAAATCTCAGTGCGCTGCAGCAAAGCCGCATTAACTTATTCATCGGATTTTTGCCAAGCACCAAATAAAAAAGTCATGAGGGGGAAGTCAATTGGTTGAACATGTGATGAAATCAATGGGAAATTAAACATAATTAAGATTAAATTAGATTAGAATATAATAATATAATATTTACAGGGGTCAGAATAATATTTATACATACGCAAAAGTAATAAAATAGAAAACAATAGAGAAATAAAATAATAGAGAGATAATATAAAATAAATACAACTATTTTCACATTTACACGAGATTGACGAGAAAATTTGTCATCGGCAAAGAAAAGATTATATAAGCGTTAGTCAAGCATCTACCTTGTCTGTGACTCTATTATAGTGATGATCCAGGTGTCCTGGCAATACCACTCGTCACTGGATCACTCATTACACTAAGGTTACCAATTGATTGTCCCCACGCCTGAGACTCATTTCAGTAAACAAATTTACACAATAGCCATTTAATACAAAATCTTATAGTGGTAGCATATATTTGTCCTAAAATCTGTTTAATTAATGTATAAGATTAGTTTCTGTTACTTTTTTGGTAACCACCGCATACTAATTCATCAAATGCATACCCATACCTGCCAACTCTTCCGGAAGATTTTATTTTCATATTTAAAGTGGTAGTAAATATATATTATTTTTTCTCTTATAAATTTAATTTTTAAATGATTTTGATCACCACTATTCTTACAAAAATTAAGCACATATATAAATATGCGTTACTATCATGGTTGCCAACTTAAGTTTTCTCAAATACAACGTATTTGTTTGCTTAAAATTGAAGTTTTAATTCCATTTTAATACCAC